CGTTGTGCATGTGTGTAGATATGAACATAGACTGCAAGAGATGCACATATATGAACATTTTCAAAATCAAGGATCGTTGTGCATGTGTGTAGATATGAACATAGACTGCAAGCGTTTATCGTCTTCATTATTCTGACATTCTTTTACAACAGGATTCTCCATGTATCTTGAACGAAACGAAAATCTTGTACACTTAGACAACCAATTTAATATATGTATAAAATCAATTGAAATGAACACCATGAACATGAAATAATAAAGAAATCATAAAAATCTCATGAACAATTARATGTATCTTTTAAGATTTGTAACTCCCAATTAATTATTGGGGGTTACAAAAAGGTTGAATTATCAAATTACTTTTATCATTAATTTATAATTTAGATTTGAACCTAAAGTGAAGAAAAAATGTGATTGGTCAATATTGGTTTCCATAGTTTGTACCATATTGTTGGTTTCTATTTGAACCAACCTCTATATATATATATATATATATATATATATATATATATGGTTGGGTTCACGTGACACCAAAGGTTTTTCACGAGACCCGTAAGACCAATTTATGTTCATTGATCAACTTTATAAGCTAATGATCTAATTGTCTAAAGTTGTACGGTGACAATTTTGTGATTATTGATAAGTCTTGTGACATTTATGAATGTTCAGATTGTCATATTGTAGATCTAATCCAAGGGTTGAGAATTGATCTTACCGGTCTCACGAAAAACCCTTGGTCTCACATGATCCCAAATCTCTCTCTCTCTATATATATAGTAATATTAATTCAACCTTCATTGATTGTATAAATAAAAAACTTATTTATCTCTCTTCTTTTTGAATTTTTAGAGAATTTTAGAGAATTTTCTATGTTTGGAGTTTTCTCCATGATCATCTATTTTAGAGAATGAGATAGGAAAGCTATTGGAGCATTATAGAGATAAAAAGTTGATTTTCTGTATTACAAAGAAGTTGTTGGAGAAGTCGGCGGTGGTTCAAATCGGTGGTGGTGGTCGACGGTGGTAGTCGGTGGTGGTTCATATTGGTGATAATCAATGGTGGTGGTCGGCGGTGGTTCAGATCGGTGGTGGTGGTCGGCGATGGTTCAGATCGGTGGTTCAGATCAATGGTGGTCGAGAGGTGGTCGATGATGGTCATATTGAGTTTTATGAGATTAGAGTATATTAGGTTAAAGACATATTTGGTATAATGAAGATAGAGATTCCATTCCATCAAAATACCATGTAGTTGCTAAGGAATGCTAAATTCTTTTATTTGTGGAATTTGTAGGATTTTGAAGATTCCTTTCGTGAAAAAAAATGAACCAAACAAGGGAATGAAATTTGGTCAATGGAATTCAACATTCCAATTCCATCAGATTCCTCGAGAATCTACAAACCAAACGCCACCTAAGAGAACGTTGACGCAATGCTAAAGGCGCATATTTCCACCTCCGTTGACATACAATAAAAGCGACGTGAGTAAATCCACCGATGTCCAACACTGCACCACCTGGACAAATGTTCAAGCTCGAAGGAGCGTAGAAGATTAAATCTTACATCAATATGCGATGGAACCAAAGAAAGGTCCCGACCCACTAGCATACCATGCGTAACCGCGGATGCAATAACTAAAACCGAACACAAACCAAACCAAACCAAACCAAACCAAACCAAACCAAACAGACTCGGTACATACCATATGAAAGTAGGGTTAGAAGACAAGGAACCTAACTACACGTATCACCAATAAATACCCCTTCGGTATCCCAAGGCCGGTTCTCGAAAGACTTACCAACGATGCTCCGTTTTTCGTTTATGGACCCATCCTTACACTCATACTCCGGAAAGTAATCTAGAAATGATTTGCTCCCAAGCTCGTTCACACCATTGAAAAGGAACCTTTTTACCACATCCTACACCGCAATTGACAACGAGGCATTAATTAAACGAAACAAGAAAGCTCCAACTAGTTGTTTGTATCATAAGGAAAGAGGGGAGGGGACTCGAGTTGAGTTAGATTTGACTAGTTCAAAAGTCGAAGTGTACTGGTTTACGTTTGATGGAGACTGATACCTTTGCACGAGTCTCCCCGATTAATCTTTTGAGAATATGGTAACCTGGATCCTGATTATAGTAACAAGGATAATATGAGAAACCAAGGTTGTAAATTCTAAGTAAGATGCTGCAGAAAATTGGTCAAATAACAAATGCGATTCGGGTGGCCCAGATGCACTTTTTGTGCTTTAAGACATGCATTTTGGAGTGAATTCATATATGTTATTTTCTCTAAACCAAGAAACTACCAACCATGGCTGATATTTCCAACGTTGTACTTTCAACATTACACAACCGATGGATATATGGATCAAGAAGAAACATAGACACAGAGAATGCTCATGTTGAAATTTGATACAAACACCAAAGCCTCATTCAGAAGCTGACCGATTTGGGTCGCCTATGCTACTGGAAAAAGTTTGGTTTAGTTCCTATTTAGTGCAATAAAGTATTTTTTTTCTCAATCGATGTAAAATAGTTTCAAATGTTCCTCTTTTACCTTAACCGGTAACCTACTGATCTTGTAACATTTGATGACATGAACCCGTTGCAAAAGGCTTATGAAATGTTTACAAAAGTGTTACGTCAACGGACGTTAAACTTGACATGCACGTCACTAAATGTGACATTAAATATAAATTTTTTGAAACCATGTTACATTGATTGAGAAATTTTGAAACATTCTTACATTAAATTGGAAATTATGAAATTTCATTCAATAGATTGTGAATTTTTTTTTATTAAACTAAATAGGAATCAAGACAAACTTCCTTGCATTTTGCTTATGAGAAAATAAGACCATATACCTTTTGGGATCTCCAAGTTAGATACCTATGTTGTGCCTCACGATTTAAACTTATCTGAGTAACATCGGTCTCCTCCGTCGTCTGATCCATCAAATTGAGCCAGGCCTGCCAATTTACTATAATAAGTGAAGATTGAAAAAACAGTAATAAAAAAGATGCAACATTACTTTCATTTATTAGACAGAACATAACGCGCACACAAAAACTCAGTTGGACACCTTGTAATATTCTGAGAATGCAGAAAACAAAGTATTGTGCTTTTCTTGGCTTGAAGAAAACTTGGTCCATATGACTATCGGTGAGAAGAATTTCAAAGACTCGCTAGTGAGTTTTCCTCCCCAAGGTAAAAGCTGCATGCAATCTGTGGTTAAGTCGGCACACTATGAATCATAGGCATCAACTACGATATAAATGATAATTTCAAACAAGTTAGATGTTATAAGCGCACCTCAGAATACTTCAGGCCAAGAGGAATCAAGCTTTTATAATACTTCTCCTTGTAATGTGTTTCATTGATGACATCATGTAAAGGATTGAGGTCCCTGTTCATAGAAACTGAACTTTAAGTCCCTGATCGCTTTACAAGATCAAGTAACTAAAACTCTCCTACATTATAGATTTGAATATCTCGAAAGTTTGCCCATTAGTGTTACTATTAACAATTAAGTCTATGATAAACCAAACCAAACAACCCTAGTATATCCCACCCAGATGTGGGTCTAGGGAGGGTAGATGAGTACGGTTGATTCCGTTAAGATCGCGGCTTGTGAAAAGTGTGTCAAAGAGAGAAAGTCAGATATGATAAATTTTTGAAAAAGATGGGACTCACATAAGCATTAGTGTTGAAAGGGATGGGGAGGCTTGCGGAACTAAACCGTTGTATAATGTGCAATGACCGAGGACACATCAGAATTAAACATCACCAGCAGGAAGACAAATGAACTGCTAAAGATAACGGTAAATTTCTTTTTGAAGATTAGTTTGCGTAAACACATTTTAAACACCAATCATAACTTGAAACATAAATTAGTGAGATAAGGACTTTGACAACAATTAAATAAATAGATGATGTAAAAAACATTAGTATCACTGGACTATTCGTGTCTTTATATGTATTTAATTGCTTACATGTGAAACAGCGGTAACAACTAACAAGTCAAGATTTTGTTTAACAGGTTAACACCTTTCTCCACTTAGTGGCAGGAGTGATCTATCTAACCCAAAATTCATATTAAGATGCAGATAACATTAAAATCATAATTTCCAATAACTTCTTTTAACAAGAAGACTTACAATACAACAATGTTTGTGTTGACAGAGGTGAAAAAATTGGCACAAAATATTGGGAGGTCAAATTCTGCTTCTGGGAAGACAGCAAAATCTAACACCTGCATGCAGATTATAGGGATCAGGATATAGTAACTGATAGTAAAGACTAATTGGCTAACAACGAATTATTAATTTGGAAAGTGATGTGATCCTAATGACATCATAAACTTCAGGAGCATTAAAAAACATCCCAAGTTACACCTACAGGTTATTTGAACCCCAATTCGATGCATTATGACCGACGGAGAACAAATGTAATAATTTTTTTTTGAAGCTAAACGAGTATCAATTCCAATTCTAAACCACAGATTACATGCTCACAAACCCCAACCAGTACTGAAATCAACTTAACTTGAAAGATCAGAGAAAGCCAGGTACACACGCATTCAGGAGTACAGTACAGAGATGCAAACAATATTCATACAACACGATTATCTAAGTTTTAAGTCAGTTAATGTACCTAATTTGTCCCTATGAGGTTCAAAATGAGCAGTTACTTCGGAAACAACTGCAATGAAAGTAACCCACATTGATAAACTTTCAGTTCGCCAATTTTCTAGCTAAGACCTAAGTCTTTGAAGATGTGAAACTTACAAATATGACAGGGACAAAGGAGTAATTCGTTTCATTAGTTTCAAGATGGCAGAGTTTGAATGTTAAATAATTTGACAATTTCTCCATGTCATTGTTCTTGCCGAGTTGCCATTAATTTAGCATGGAAGTAAACTCAATCGACTAAAGTATACATCAAGTGACTTGCATGCAATGATCACGCCAAAAGGAACTACCATCAGCAAGGAACGCACATGCATACAAGATTCGGTAGGTATTTCCAGTACAGGAGTACCTACTTACGTAACATCCACGTTGGTGAGTTAAGTTTCCTCTTCCCTTCTATTTTTTTTTATGTATGTGCTTTTACACTTGTGGAAATGTTGAGATTTAGACAATACTATCAAGCAAAAAAAAAAAGGTCAAATAGCCAATCTAAAAGGGAGATTGTGAGACAATTGTTGAGTTGAGTTGAGTTGAGTTATTGCCTTCATAAATACACTTGAATCATCAAGTACCAGCTCAGACTACAAGCAGTATCCAGTTACAGATATACCTCGATCCAAGAGGCTGTGACATTACCTGAATACCGTCACTAGCTTCGATAGAAAGACTACGAAGTAGCCTAATCTTGGGAGCTTGAAAGGAACACATCCTAAGCTCCGTCTTCCCATCCATTGCTTTCAAGGTGCTGAAATTTTCCTGCTAATTTAAATGGCTTAGTCTTTCACCCAAAAGTATTTGACTGCTAGAAAAACACCAAAAACAAGCCAATGTCAAATCTACTTATCAGTTTATCTAGTGAGCACATGGTAGAGTATGATGGAAAAGCACAATCATCACTTACAAAAGACACAGGGTGTGAATCATGGAGATACAAAAAATACGGTGTTGGCTCCTCATTTTCGCCAAAATAGCCATCACTCAGATCACAAATCATCTTATTAAAAAAACGAGCAGGAAGTAACAACCACTGAAAGGCTCACACAAGTAGAAAAGCCACATGCTATTTCTATCACAAAATATTTGGAGTACTAAAGAGACAGTACAATTTCCATTCTATAATGCAAGCAAAATGCATATCAAAGACGTCAGCAAAAGATTATTAATGGATGTTAATCCAATTCATTGTTTTGATCATTCGATTTTAAATACATAACAGAGTACTAAATTTTTTTGACCCTCGCAATCAAACAGGTTATTTGATAACCCAAATTGACACAGTTCAACTTTTACATCATTCTAATTTCAAACAATAAAGTAACATTATATTCTCATTCAATGATTATTGTCTTACCTACTAACCACCAGTATGTCACCACTACTAAATTTCTCACTCGAGCTGTCATTTCTTGAAAGATTGCTCAATTCCAACGAAAAACAGGAACATACTTTGATGGGGTGACATGACGAACCATCTCAGATGTTAGGTTCAATTATATTTTCCCTACGTTCAACGTAGTTATCAAATTTTACAAGGAACATTGTAGAATTCGTATAAACTTCAAGTTGAGGAGAAACCAATTTCAAAGCTAAGCCAAACAGAATTTTCCTCATTTGGCTGGAGTGAGAATTATTTAACTCAGTGAACGTAATCGGAAACCGTAATTTCAATCTGGTTGTCCTAACCTTACACAATCGTGTTGAAAAAGAGCAGAAAAGTACTTATAAACTGCAATTACGACTGCTAACAAGCATTTCAATTCACTCGTCTCTGATCGTGTGGAATCGTGAACGACAATTACCTGCAAGGAAGAAGGAATCAAGGCTGAAGTGGAGTATTTGGTTTCATCCAAAGCAAATTGAATGAACTTTTGGTAGGAAAAAGCTGATGCTGCTTTCATTGAACAGGAGCACCTCACTTTTTTGGCCCTCGGTAACAATGGATGCGGTTTAATGGTTGTCGAGAAGGAACTCGAAGACGATAAAGACTCCATTGTTGAACAAAATGAAAGGTTTAGTTTTGTGTTTATGGTGTGTGGACACCAAGCAGGAAAAAATGGAGCCAGCCGCACAACTTTCAAGCCGTTTTGCCGTCGTATTTTAATTTGTAAAATGCATAAAATAACAATCTATTTTTATAATTTTTTTATTATAGTATTGTAATTTAATTTTTTTTTATTATAATAATATATTTTTAAATTATTTTTTATTAGAATATTGTACTTTGAAAAATTTACCTATCATAGCAATGTGTAATCTTTTGATTTAAATTTACTCATTATACTAGGTTTCCATGCCACCTCATTGTCCACGTAGGCTGTCCACATGTAATATAATGATGTGACTTTCTTACTCCATCATTATACTTTCAAAATTATTTTATTATAACATCTATTAGTTCTTATTAAACATTGTATTTTTAATTTTAATATTTAGATATTTTACATGTTATTTAATAAATGTATTAAATGAATTAAAAAAATTCTAAATTATTCATTAATATATCAATATCAATAAAACTAGTAGAACACAACTTATCTCGCTAATATTTTTAAAAAAAATATGTGTTTTTTGAAAAAAAAAAATAAGAATTGTTCTCTTTTACCAAAAAATATTATCTTTTAAAAAATATATTATATTTGTTCAAAAACTTTTTACTTGACGTATAAATATATTAAATTAATTAGACTTTTTTGAATTATTTATTAATATAACAATATCAAAAAATTATAGATGACAATTTATTTCGTTAATATTTTAAAGAGAACTTTAAAAAATATGTATTTATTTGAACAACATAAAATAAGAAAATTTATTTTTTTTTTACAAACAAAATATATCTCAAAAATAATGTTTCATATTTATTTAATAAATATTTTACTCTAAAAATATTTAATTTGAATGCAACTTAATAAGAAAAAGTAAAAAAAAAATTAAATATTTTTTTTTAGTTCATAGCAATTAAAAATGAAAATCATTAATAATAATTTGAAATATATTTTTATTTTAATTTTAGTTAAGTCATTAAAATGATGTGGCATCCACATCACCTCATTAAAGCCACACAAGCAAAAAAGTCAAAGGGTTAACCGGTTTAAAATGTAACAGGTTACCCATTGCTATTATGGGTAGATTTTTTAAAGTACAATGCCATAATAAAAAATAATTTGAAAGTACATTGTTGTAATAAAGAAAAACAAAAGTAGAATGTTATAATAAGAAATTTTATGAAAGTAGGTTGCTATTTCATGCATCTAAACCTATTTTATTCTATCACATATATGCAATTTTTGTTTCTTGTTTACTATTCTCGTAAGTAATTAAATAAAAGAAAATGTTCGAATCATATGTAAAAATTAGATGTGACGATACATTAACCGTCAATATAATGTGTTGTTCGACGTAGCCTGCAATCTCAAGTCGCAGTCAAAATCGTATGAATCATATGTGATTTTGAAAGTGTTCGTATATCAAGAATATGTAAAAATAGTGTAAGAACAAAGAGTATTAGCAGCCAAGGTTTTGATCTGTTGTTGAATGTAAAGAACGGTGAACAATTTGCTTACAATGTTTGAATGAATCAAAGACGAATTATTGTTTTCTTTGAATTACAGAAAAGTAAATCTATCTATAAAGTGAATTAAGATGAGCAAAAGTGAAAACCACAAAGGTTGGTAAAACAACCAATGTGAAGAATACCACTGAAGTCAAGCCATCAGCTCAATGAAAAATACCACTGAAGCCAAGCCATCAGGCTTAATGAAGAATGATGAAGCCACCACCTTTACTGACTCTGTTGGACCCATTGTAAAATAGGTATAAAGCAAAATTAATATCCCTCTTATTGCAGGAAGTCAAATGCATCTGGTATCTCGATAGTGGATGCTCAATACATATGACAGGTACCAAGTCCCTGCTATCTGAGTATAAGGAAGAACAAAGTCCTTTAGTGATCTTTGGTGGTAATGAAAAATGTTATACCGAAGGTTTTGGTGTATTAACCAATGAAGCAAACATGTTCAGACGAGTTACTTACGTTGAAGGATTGAACCATAATCTTCTCAGCATTAGTCAATTGTGTTATAAAGACTTCACAGTTAAATTTTCAAAGTAAACATCTTGAGTCTTCGACAAGGATGACAAACTTGCATTAACTGGCACTCGCCTAGAGAATGTACACATCATCGACATGGATTCTTCTCTCACTGAGAATATTAGTTTTCTTTCTAAAGCCTCCTCAAACGTCAACTGGCTATGACATAGAAGGCTTTCTCATCTTAACTTCAAGACACTGAACGAGTTGTCTAGAAAAGAACTAGCCACTAGCCTTCCTCATCTATATATATATATATATAGAGAGAGAGAGAGAGAGAGAGAGAGATAGAGAGAGATAGAGAGAGAGATAGAGAGAGAGGTTGATTATTATACAACCCATGACATTTGTGCAACCAATACAACTCAATCTCAACCGTCCATTTCATTTGATTAATATGTGATTTCATAAAAGTTTTGATTGTTTCCTAATATAAAATATTGATTATAATTAATGAACCATATTCATTTTCCATAAATATTCAAATTATAATAAATGAACTTTCATCATTTCCATAAATATCTCAATTTATTGGGTTGCATTGGTTGTACAAATGCAACATGTTGTATTTGAAACAAACTATATATATATATATATATATATATGTATGTATATCACTCGTTCTTTCATTCTTTGCACTCTCATATTATCATATACTCTTTCTCGCTCTAAAAACACCAAGAACACGCACTTGTTTTTCTTCTTCCACTTCAAACAAATTAGGTTTGTTGTTACATATTTTGGTTGTTTGTTCTAGTAAGAAACTTGTTTGTATCTTACTCTTCTTATTCAATAAAATACAAACAAAACAAGTTGTAGAAACCTTTCTTATTATTGGTTTATTACAGAACTTTGTTTCTTAAACCTAAACTCGAAAACCTACTTTTCTTTTTGGTTTTTTCGAAGGAAAGTTTTGAGTCAATCATCCACTTTGGTATCTTATTGAACAAAAATGGTGATATTGTCTATCAAAGCAAGAAGTCTTGTAAGTAACAGGCTTATTATTACTGATCGGGTATGGAATTGATAGCCTTTATACTGGATTTTCAGTTGAAAGCTAACTTCTCCCATACCAAAAGTTACCGGAGAGGAAATGTCGGGTTGTTTTAGCTTCTTGCTTTGATAGAACTGTATCGATGCCCATTAACTTATTTCTATTCTTTATTCTAAATTGTTGTGCATCTTTCTTTTCTTCTTAAAACTTCTTGACCAGAAATGCTTGGTGCATCCAACGTGAACTTTGGCATAGAAGAATGCAGTTTCAAGCCAAACAACCACCTAACTCTTGTTGACATTCCCACCGACAAACAACAGTTTGTTGATGTTGTCATCTTCCTAAAGAACAGTGTTCTAGGATATGCTCTTACATTCCAACCAATCATGGTGAAAGACTTATTGAAGCAGTTCTAGTTCATTGTTGAGGAAAAGTCTACCAAGGACTCTTTTGGGAACTCCACCATCAAGATCTCCAGCCAGATCAACAACCTCATGATGGACTTTGGGCTTGCAACCATCCATTTAGCTTTGCATCTTCCCAAAGTCCCTCCCTTCGCAAAATACCCTAATAGTGAAGCTATCGTCAACTTTCTCGACGATATTCACTATGAGTGGCCACTAAAGAAGAACTCTGACTCTGAACTCAACAAGTCACTGACAAATATTGAGAATAACCAAATGTCTGCAGTCTGGCAATACCTTTTTTCCCATTTCATTCAGTGCATAGGTGAGAAAATCGGCATCCAAGACCAAGCGAGTTGGGTAGCACTGAACATCAACTACTTGGTTATCAGGAACAGAAACGCTGACTTCACTTAGATAATCTTCCACGACCTTGTGCTGGAGATGAACAAGCGTCAAAGGGAAAAGGTCGTCCCTTACACAAGATTCCTGAGTGGCATCATCGCAAGGATGTTGAAGAAACAATACCTGCAAGTATGGATCAAGGAATTTGATCACAAAACCAAACCTATAGATGTTGGTCTATTCCCCACAATGTTGAGGATAGTCCATACTCATTTTCTTCCTTCTTCTTTTTCTTCAGCGACAACGACTTTGGTTTAGCCTCCAAATTCTACCCAAATTGTTATCTCCTCATCCTATCGAAAGAGGACACAATCTGCAGCCCCTTCTAATCCCTCAAAGAGGGTTAAGAAAACTTCACAATGGAAACCCTCTCAGCTAGGTGAGGCCTCTCAACAGGTCGCATATATTGAAACTCGCCCCATCTTTAAGGCATCTGAATTACCCCTCCTTTCCCTTTCAACAATTTCTTCAGTTGTTATCATATCGGTGGCACCTAGCCAAACCACCTAAGTGACTCAACTTACTGAGAGTATGATTTTCAGCACTGCCACTGCTGCTTTGTTCTTCTCAGTCGTTGTCTCTTCTCCTCATTTATTGGTCTCGACAATACGTGTTGATGAACCAATAATGGTTGCCCCAACTGTTGGTGAAGCCATCACCATAGGACCTGAGGAGGATCATCTCGAGATCCCTCAGCAACGTGTGGCTGATCCTCTCAACAGTGCATTTGAGACGTGTGACTCCAACGGTAATCGTCTGGATACTTTTGAGGAACCCTCAGGTCCTAAGGAGAATAAACCCCCAGTCACCAAGATTGAAGACTATGATATGGCTGGGATATCAAACTACTCCTCCCTATTGTGGCCATTGTCGTTGATAGGATGGATGAAGTCAAGCAGGTGATGCCCTAGAAGGAAGACTTGGCTCAGGACCTCTCTACTGTCAAAGCTGAGGTTCTTGACGCTAGGAATGCGCTGACAAACGTGAGGACAAAAGTCCATAAAAACTCCAACGCCTTCGCTGATCTCTCCAGGAAGGTTGAGGAGGTTCAAGCTCAACTTACCAAGCATGGTAAGCTCCTTAAACAGATTTGTGTGCTTCTTCAATGACTAGCACCTATCCCTAAACCGTCATTTAGTAATGTTGACCGACATCAGTTGGATATGGTCGTCAAGCTCAGCATTCAACAAGGTAAATCCCTTGTCTCCATCGAGCAGAAGCTGAACAACTTATCCATGCGTCTTTCTTCATATATTGATGATGCCAAAGAGGGGGAGAAGGATAATGTTGATGTTGATGCTGTCAGTGTCGAGGTCGCTGACCCTGAAGACCCTCTACCTTCTACCTCTGCATTAGCCAATGCTGGTGATGAAGAAGAGGTTGACGAACATGAAGATGATGAGGAGCCCGAGATCCCTGACACTAGAGCCGATCTTGGAGATGATGATGATGTTCAACCTTCTAGAGGTAACAAATGCCTTAAACGTTTTTCCTCCCTCTTCCTCTGAAGTTGAACCCTTCAACCCCTGGCCTTTATTTTTATTTCTCCTCTTTCTAGCCTAAACCCTCCAACCAAATCTCTCACCGCAATGATCTCTCTCAGCCCCTCAACCTAACCATCTTTAATCACAGTCTTTTCAGTCCTCCTATTCGATTCGTCTAACGAAGAGGATGAATAACATGACAAAGAAAATTAAGTCTCCGACCTTATCACTAGGAAGTCGTCTAGACTCCCTGTGTGTTCCGAGGTTGAAGCAACTAAGAGGATGACTCAGCTAATAAGTCAGCTCGACCAATCTAAAATAAAAATTCCTCTTAGTACCTATGGATGTGGTGAGTTTGACTTCCTCTCTGAATCTGAATGAGAAGAATCCCTAAAGACAGAACAAGAGCTTAAACAACATCAACAACAACTTAAAGAAAGTCTAGAGCTAGCCAAAGCTCTAGCTGATGAAACTCATGCTGAAGTAAGATTCATGCAAAATGACTCCATAAGTGCTCAAGCTCTATTCTTAAGAGAGGTTGAAAAGAAAAATCTAAGAGTGTTGATGCTGAAGAATCATGAGCTGAACTAGTGCAGTGAAAGGATCGAGACAAGGATGAACCCTCACAAGATATCAAATGACACCATCAACGGACGAATGAAAGATGGTGGTCTTCTTGTCTCCATAGTCATCTTCCAAGAGAACAATGATGCCAAAATGGAGTATCCCTCCTTTTCGAGGAGATATGGGTTCTACAAGTCACTTGAGATTCAACATGTAATTCAGAAGTCAAAATCAAAGCATAAGGCTTACATTGTAGAAGTTTTGAACAAACTATTGGACAAAGTGTCAAAGATCATCGAAGTTCATCCTCTACCACTAAATACCTCTCGAAGAATAAATTTTCTTTTTGATTCTAAAGAAGGACCATCCCACAAGAACGAGCAGGAGACAAAATACTCAATGAATGAACTCTTCAAGAATAGGAAGAAGCCAGATATCTCAATGTTGAATTTAACACTACCTGAGAATGGACCCTTCACTTCCAACACAATGCATGTGAAACCTGAGTATGGACTTATGTTCATCAACTACGACGGTCAATACAGGTTCCAGCAAGTATCTAAGTTCCATTTCTGCCCAATTCATCATCTAGAGTATTTTCATACTTTGCTAAATGAAGACCTCTTTGGAGAGATGATGGACCGCAGGATTCAAAAAGAAATGTTGTAAAGAAAGAATCAAGGAGAAGATGTTCCTGACTACATCTCTTTCAAATATCTTGAATGAAGCCTTTCGATCTTGTAACCTTTTTTACTTTTCTTTTCTTTCTGTGTATAGTTTTTATCTTCTAAACTTATCATACCAATTGTAATCACTTGTAATATTTCGTCTTGCATGAAATTTCAATGTATTTGTTGGTTCACTGAAAAAGATCCCTTAAAAGAGTAAATGGGACAAGTACTTATGAGTTCTATTTCTTTTTCATTCGCTGACATATTTCTTGTTAGTTACTATGTTTTTAGTATTAAGTTACTTATGTTATGTAACTTCATTCTCCCACTTGTAATCCTTTACAAATAAATGAATTTCCATAATACACTCTAACACTAAAAAAGATCCCAAAAACAGTAAAGGAATATGTGTCATACAAGTTATTTTTCTATACTGTAATGACCTAGCAATTTTCTTTTATGTTGCTTTGTCATCATCAAATAGGGGGAGATTGTTGGTCCAAACTCTCTCAGTGATTTGATAATGACCCTTTATACTTAGCAAAAATTACTTAGTTCCATTTTTGCAGTTTCAGCGATCATCTCTGAGTCTGTTTAGTGATCGTTGAACATGTATTGTACTTATCTAAAGGACAAGTATTCTTGAAGAAGATGAAACTCACACGAAGGGAACCTTCAACAATGTCGAAGATGTAGCTGAAGATAGAGCCAACAGTTCGTGATCTGAAGCGGATTTGGTGATAAAAGGTGTGTCTAAATCGAAGTGTGAAATCTAACCAAGATTCAACAAACACTGAAAAACCCTAGAGTTGAATCAGTATCAACGATCAAAAGGACAACCTCATACCTCACATAGTAAAACACATGTATGGATTTACTTTATTGTCTCCAAACGTGCTTACCTACTTTGTGAAAGACAACTGTTCATATATGGCCAAAAGTCTGTATATCTGAAGACAAAGACAAACTCTCCTGTAGAAGTTTGCTACGTGCTTTGTACCCTCTTACTTGCATTAAATGCAATGCGTATAAATAACTAAGAAGACTCTCTTCTCAATAAGCATACACAAGCCTTCTTAAGCAAACATTTTCTCTCTTGCTCTCTTCTTATCTTCTGTGTAACTTGTGTGCTTCTAAGATTGTTAAGATAAATTCTTAATCTTATCTTCTTCCGCAACAATCTGTAAATTCCATATTGATCTTTTATCAATAAACAAATTTAAAAAGTGAAAATTGTGTGTTGTATTCAACCCCCCCCCCCCCCCTCCCTCCCTCCCTTCTACAAACTGTTACCTATAAACTCTAGATCCGTTTGGAACCAACAAAATCCATCTGGGCAACTTACCTTAAAACTTCTTCTAACCCTAGAGAAAAGAACTTCGAGGATATGCAGGATTGACCTTTCTAAAGTAAATGCTAGATCTAACAACACAACGACATTTGCAAAACAATAATTCGTTGTTAAATGATAGAATAATCTTTCAAAATTTATTGATGCTTGTATTTGGTTATGTCCAACTAGGCACAACTCTAGCAGTATGATTCCTCTAAATCCTCTTGTTATTTTAATAACAAGGCACCATCAGATAGCGGGTCCACTCATTAACAAATTTTAACCCTCATTTAAAAATATGATGTAAACCACTCTTTTTTACAACAACAACAACAACAACAAAAAAAAAAAAATTAGGTGTTGTTTGACAGTTGCTGAATTGTTTAGTGTAAAATGATTAAGTGGTCAGAATGATTAAGAGGCTCTAATGATATAGTGTAAATTGAAATATAATTATTTAAATAATTGTTTACAATGAAATTAGGGTGCTGAATGGTTAAGTGAGACTCATGATACAATATCATTCAGAGAATTTTAGAATCAATAAGAGGCAGACCTTTTTTGTCAAACAAGATTTACCTCTTAACAATTCAGAAGTCGTTTTTAATATAACTATTAAAAGATAAACAAACAACCCCTTATATTTTCTTTCTCGATAAGAGGAAATATTGTTCCAATTTTGAGGTGAAACAAAACAATTCTCAAATTTTAGGTATGGATTTTGCAAAAAAAAAAAAAAAATAGAACCACCACTTTTGTATTTGCATTGTTAATTATAATTCTAATTTAATCATCAAATATCTTCGGAACTCTAAATCATTCTTATAAAGTACAAAAGTCAAAATTACTAACTCTATTGATGAAATGGTACATATGGAACGAATTTTAGGTTCATTGTATAATGTGATTTTGTTCACATGTGAATATTAGATATTTTATGAAAGTAAATTTTTAGAACTATATATGAGATTATAAACTTGGACCATTTTAGGTTGGATATCATGTTTAACACATTTGATTTAAAATATTTCATATAAACCAGGAGGGGGGATTTCTGGTAACTAACGGGATTGAGATGTGATCGTATTCCCCATTGAAGACGGGGACGAACATTGGGGATCAAGGGCAAGGATTGGGGTCCCTGCCCCATCCCTTCTTAAGGAGCCCCATCGTACAACATTACATTTAGTGTGACTTGTTGCCTATTGTTTGTTTTGGTTCTTGGTTGCCGTTGCTTGGAAGATCTTTATCATTTAATGTTGGACTAGAAAAATTGCGGACCAGAAAGCAAACAATTCTTGTTTTGCAACCAAATCGTACGTAACGTACAAAGACCAAAAACACCTATTCTATCTATGTAATTGTAGTAGAAGGTTTAAATAAGAATGAAAATGTAAGAAATGAAGGGTCATATTTGAATCATCAAAAAATCCATTTGAAGATACGTATGTGAACCTAATCTTGATTCATATATGCATCTTCAAATATATATGTTTTTTGGATTTTTCAATAATTTATATATGAACCTTTAATCATATCTTCTCATAATATTTAGTCTTCTTATTTGAACCAGTCCACGGTAACAACTTAGCAATTCATGCTATTACTTTCAAAATATTTGATCCATCTTTTTATCGTTTCAACAAAATGAGTATTCTCAACCCCAAGGATGGTGTCTGATTGATTTGAGTTTGGCTCAAAAGGTCAAAAGTACGAAGAGGTCACAGGTTTAAATCCAAGGAGGAATAAAAATCTTGTGACCACGGAGGTTCAAATACGGTGACTCCGGGTTATCTGCAAAGCAGGTGGTCGCTCTGGAATTAGTCGACTCGCATAGCGGGTTGAATATCCAGGTTAATAAAAAAAATTGAGTATTCTCTAGATCTAATGAGAAATGTTGGAATGAAGAGCACAACAACTTCTAAAAAAATATGGTGAGTACAAAAGATACAACAATAGGCTTCCCTACTTGATCGGCATGGACCCACGGTTTTTCCCCATAAGCATTTTTGAACAAAAGAGCATCCGCTTTGGGTACCAGATCATTAAAATTTGTTTCATACGTCAGCACCACGACTAATAATCCCAACCATACTCTCTCCTTCCATAATTACTGGAGTTGCCAAATCTCGATGCTGAAAACCTGTGTCGATACCCGTTAGAGCCTGAAGCTTCATACTGAAAACCCGAATCATAACCACTAGCGCCCACATTAGAGCCCGAAGGTCCATAATTAAAGCCCAAACCATGACCGCTAGCACCCCCATTTGAGCCGGAAGCTCCATACTGAAAACCCAAACCGTGACCCCTAGCACCCCCATTTGAGCCTGAAGGTTCATACTGAAGACCGGAACCATAACGACTAGCACCATGATTTCCATGGAAAATATTCTTAGATCTGTAACTAGCTGGTGTTGAAGGAGATCCCCAGTTGTTAGCATTGAAAGGTCCATGGTAATAACCACCGCGACCTTCGGTGATCCACCCACCCCTACGATTTAATACTAATGGAGTTGGTTGTCCATGTTGTATTTTATTTCTTTTACGAGCCTCCCCTAGATCATGAGGTGCAGACTTAACACCAATATGGTCTCTGTTATTGTTTAAATGACTCTGCTTAGGCCGTGAAAAGCCGGTCTTCCGCTTTCGCTTCTAAATCAAAGGAAAAAGAAGCCCTTTAAAATTTGTTAACAACATCAAATATGACATAAACCAAACCGATCCGGTAAATCCCACTCGAAAGTAGGGCATATGGGATGATATGTAAGCAGACATGTCCTTTGCCCTTAAAGAGTAGAGTGGCTGTTTCGTGAAGACCACTTACTTGTGCAAGAGTGTGATCAAACAGGTAGAAGGAACATTACGGACTAAAATTTATTGTTGCCAAATAAGATTCTTTTACCTTGGCAGAACTTGCGCATTTACGTGCCTTATGGCCTTCCTCTCCGCATTTGTAGCAATAACTATGTGATGCTGCATTGCCTATCTCTGCACTTACACTTGCACTTGTGCATTTCTGACAGAATGACATTTGAGTTTACCAGATCAAACAATAAGTAATGGTTTTCTTCTCGACTAAAACTGAAACATCCTAGATAAACAACGCATCAGGTAGCTTATGATGTATTATATAATTAAATGTCAATTTCATTAATTCCTATTACCTGTAATAGAAGGTCGACTCAGAGGATACAACATATGAAATATCACAGAGAGCAATAGAGTATCCTAGATTAGTTCCATGTGCTCTCACATTAAAAGGTGGAAAAACTAGCTGTCCGAAAACAAAATAAGACAATGGCTTTGATACAGGAATATTCATATATTCCAACATCACCCCTACATCTCACAAAACAAAAAGAACTTTTTATATTAAGTCAAAACATAGTTATATAGGGTCCCAGGCACCACCCACAAGGTGGCCGTGGGACCATGAAGTGGGGGAGCTCCAGAAGGTGGTGTATACCCTTGTTTTTTAAACAGAGTTATATAGGCATGTGCCGTTGTGCAAGGATTTGCACATTTCCAAGGTAGTTCCTCATCATGGTGGATGGCACAGCAAGGGAAATAGCTCATGCCATGTAGCCCAAAGTGATTATGCCATTGGGCAATGACACAACTTCGAAGACTGAGTTTATATTAATGAAACTAAAATCTACTCTTCGAACTTTTACTTCTGATATACAATGAGCAAACAGGCCGTATTAAACCAATACAACTATAGTACTACAAAGAGATAACATGGTTGAAACTTGAATTTAGATACTAATTATTTTTAGCTCTGGTTCGTGCGCATTAGAAGTAGACATGAGTGGTTGTCTTAGAGTGCATCGAAGCGACGTTTATTTTAGTGTACACGGGTGATCCTGTGATTGGAATTTGAATTAGTGAATGAGTTTAGGTTCAATTTTTCATGGATTATGACAATGTTATATGAAGGTTGGACAAAAAGTGAAATGCAATCCATATGTTAATCCCAAATGACCTGAATAAAGCTGAATGACTCAGCTGCCAAGGTTTGGGGTTGGTTGGTAGTTCCTGAATTTGCAAACAAACTTGGTGATCAATAAGGCTGTGAATTGGATAGGGTTGCTTGAGGGCGAATCAGGTTCAATTCAGTAAAAAAGATACATTTGAACCGCATCTAAAGCCAGATCAAACGATGCTCAATCATCTACTTGGCTTAAAGACAAAGGTGTTCTGGAATTTTTCCTACCCTATTTTTGAATAGAAAAGCTCACAAACACCTTGGTCAATCAACTACAGTTCATGAGATACTCATCCGATGACAAATGAGTATGCTCAAGTTTCATTTCAGAATTCGGAAATACAAAGCCATAAACAAGGAATTGTGTACATTCTAATATTTGAAGAATCTTTGATGAGAATTAAAATGATCATTGTAATTTAACTTCTGATGAGAACTTATAATGAGATTCTGAACATTATCATACATGATGGCTTATTTTATGTAAATTATTTGCAAATACAAAGAGATTACTGCAACAAAGTATGCTAACGGTTAAATATGTACTTTACGAATCTATAATTTTGATTCAACTTCGAGCTCGGTTCAAACTGGAGTAGTATTCACGACACAAATCACATTGAGCAGGCTTATTGGAAGTACCGAGTACAGTATGAGCATGATAGCTAACTCTAATCCCAAGTTCAAGCTCCTTTCCAGGCTAACGTTTAATAATTCAAGTGGAATTTGGGCAGCTCATTATTTGGTTCAACTTGTCACCCCTAGCAGTCTGATCTCATATGACAAACTGATACCATATGTGAACAGGACAAGATGCCTTGTGGTATACTAAAGCAGTTAAAATGTAAATGCAGAATATATTTTTAGAAATATGGGCAAGTGATTGAGCTGAAATATATATTTAAGCACCAAGAGACATACCAAACCAGTATGGCCCAATTGACCACATCTGTAACAAGAAAGCTCTCTTGCACCTGTAGCATAGTTAACACAACAAAGATGCCCAAAACATTTGCAAATGTAACATTGTAGTTCCTGAAAAGGTGAAAAAGGAGTCAGTGTGTGGAATTTATAGAAAAATCCTCGGGTTAAAATAGCAAAACTTAGAAGCAGGATATTTCGTATATTAATATCAAAACAGCCTACAGGATGCGATTGACCTTGAGAGCGTCCGGGGAGTATACAGTCCTGCATGTGAACATGTCATGCCCAGAATCACCACATTTCAAACATAATTTAGCCTTTTGAAATCCATCCTTGGATTTTTCTGGGCAGTCTTTTGCACGATGACCACCTTTTTTGCAGATAAAACAATCTTTTCCCTGACAAAGAATAACAATATAACAAATAAACAACAAGAAAGGTCAAACTCAACTGGAAAAAGAAATATCGGTCCCTCATACAATAAGCTCAAGAACAATAGAGAGCTCAAGTATTCACTTCTCCAATAATCTTTTATTTTCTAAGAAGGGGCATGGCGGGCTTAGATATTTCCAAGGACATGACGAATGGAAACAAGCGTTTGGCGACGTAAGGCTAGGGTAGTGGACTATATGCAGGGATCTGCAGACGTCATGAGCGAGAGAAGAGAGTTTAGAAAAGGTGGAGGGTGGGCAAGGGGGAAGGGTGGAGAGGTGGCGCTTAGGTTTCTAGAGCATTATGGTTGATAGAGAGTTGTTTTCGTGTTTCCTACCTTTCATGTCTTCTATATATGCTTTGTTGTATCTTTAATGTTTATATATCCGAACTACGAAGTACTATGTTACTATGCCACTTTTCCCTCGTGTCTTTTTGCTTTTGTTTTGCAAGCTGGGGTCTTCGCAGAAACGGCATCTGTACCCTTGGGGTAGAGGCAATGTTTGCATAACCCCCCCCCCCCCAAAAGACCCTACCTCTATGGCTCTATCCGGGTATGCTAGGTTCATTTGGTTTGGTTATGTTTTCTAGATTGGTCAAACTTTACTCAAATTAACAAAAACTTCATAACTATAGAAAAATAATATACTACTACTAAAATTGGACTCCTTAAGCATCCATGATCCACCTATGTGTTCGCTTAAAATCCCATTATAAGTTCCAGACATTAGAAGGTCCCTAGGTTGCTTCCACTGTTTATCACTCTCGCAACATTTGCCATATGGGTTGTACAAAAGGAAATGTAAATCAACACTGTTGTATTTTTGACAGGGATAAGAAATATCATTAGGAAATGTTGGGATATCCTAGTGGATGTAGAAGAAATTTAGCAAACAAGGCAAAAGGGGATTAGAATTTGGTGCTGCTAAATTTGGTGGATGTACCAGAAATTTTGGGATATCCTGGTGGATGTTAAAAGCACGTAGGCTCTGAGGCTCATAACACTCTATGTCTTGGGCTTTTATAAAGTCGAGGCTACACGTATTCACGAGGCCTACTAAGGCCCTACACCTTGGCTGAGACGCCTTGTGGGCCTAGGCGCACCTCATAAAGAGCTATTAAGTACCAAGTCAAACCCCAATATTAAATAAGTTTTCTCATCTTCTTACCACCAAGACTTCTTAAAAAAGAGTTATTAGATAGACGACATAAGTCAAACCCTAATATTAACTATTTGGTCTTATAATTTCAAGCCTATTTCTCTATAAATAACCAGACCTTAAAACTTCTCCCTCATGGTTCAAGCTTTAAGCCCTTCTCCCTTCTGCCTCTATCAAAGTACTGCTAATTGCTGCACCGGAGTACTTGCTACATATTTGAGTTGTGTATAATTGTGTGCATGTATATATACACTCTTCTTATAAGATGCGCCTCACATTCCCGAGGCCTGCGCCTCATGCCTGTGCCTCGTGCCCAGGCCCCGAGACCCCTTTGCGTCTAAGTGCACCTTGAGCCTTTAACAACTTTGTTGTCAATGTTTAATGATGAGTGATGACACTTTGTTGCTAATGTTCAATGATGAGTGATGACACTTTCTTGACACATACCCTCCTCCTTTCCTCAACTTCGTACGGATTATATATCAATAGTTCAATATATATGAAGAGTTGGAGAGATGATAACTTGACATTTTCAAATCATCCTATCGATGTAAACAGTAAAAGTTCAAACTTACAATAAGTAAATTATGTCAAAAGTGCCAGGAGTATAGCCCTATGTGACATCCCGTTACCGAGGGTATCATCCTCTGCCCTTAGTACAAGTGAATGAAAGAAAACTTCATATCTTAAACTTTTATTCCAATATAATAGAGTTAATACAACAGCGGAAGATGCTGGAAATTTACAACTTATAATATTCTAACATCTTAGAATAGCAATACTTCGGCTTGTTCCTACTCCTTGATTGCTGAGATGCATACATGAATACGTAAGCTTTAAGCTTAGTGAGTAGTTATGGTTTCATGATAAATCATTCTTTCCAACTAATTAAAATAATTCTTATAAACTTTCATGTATAAAAACATTTCTTTGAGATCTCATGGTTACATGTTAATTAAACCACTCTCTCACAGGTTTTTTAACCTCGGGTCCACATAAGGGTTGCCCAATAAAGTCCGTTTGCAAGACGTACCTTCTTTCCATATTTTGTACGTTGGATATTTAAATGGTTGTATTTAACATGTATAAAAACTTTCATGCCTTGTGTACATACATGTATTATAACATGCAAACACTTTCATGCCTTGGTGTAAAACACATACTTGTATCAAAACATATCATCATGCATCTTTTGTATAACATTTTCACGTAAAGCAAACATGCCAAAATATCTTGTAATGCATAAAATACTTTTATGTAGCATGAATGTACCTCATAAATCTCATAAGTACTCACCTTATTTTGGACTTCCTAACTCACTTCTTAGTCTTTATTATGCTTTAAGGTAGTATTACAATCTTGGGATGGAAAAGAATGAGCCCTTTAAGCTTCTATTTATAGGGTGTAAGGTATGCTTTAAGGTACTTGTTCACTTAGCTTTTCAACTTGTAAGTTTCTAAGGATATGCCACATATGTACTTGTTCATTCTAGCCTTGCCTTGTAATGCTTTTAGGGTTGCCACAAACTCCTTTTCTCTTACAACTCATTCTCTAGGCTTGCTTTGTCATAAAGAGTAGGCTTACTTTGTCATAAGAATTTTTGTGGCTCATGTTGTTTGCCTTTAAGTAGCTTAGTAAGCTACTTATGTGCTCATTGGTAAGTAGCTTTGTAAGCTACTTGTATGCTTGCTTGCTTATTTATTAATATATATATATATTTTAATAATGTTATTTACTTTGTTTTAGTTCTTATATTAAGGGCCTTTAGAAACAACTTAACTTTATAAGAAATTATGATAAAGATATGTATATATCTATATATGTGGCTGAAAATTAGGGCTGTTACACCCTATCTTACCAAAAGTATAGAGTTTCAATTTGAAGATACCCAAGATATTTTTGGCCTGTAGAATTTAAGCAGTAAGAATGGCTACGGGGAGAACCCCAAACATGTAGTACATGAGATGACTCTGAACCTAAATAGATAGAGGTAAAAAGAAGAAAACTACAATTAGGTACCACCAGAACTTATAGCAATAAGCATATATGGTATTTGCTTGAGTTGGTAAATTCTATCTAACTTTTTAAGACCAATCCATATGGTATTTGCTTGAGTTGGTAAATTCTATCTAATTTTTTAAGACCAATCCATATTTCTCTTTCTATGTATAATCCTTGTTATTTCTGATGCCAGAAATGTCTCCTTAATTTGAAGAATGATCTCCCAACAATCTTTGAGGTTGTGAGCGCAAGAAACAAACTAAGGAAAAATCATTGGTAACAAACAACAGCATCAACTGTGAAAGAAAATCGTAATTGGACTTTCGATGATGCTTCCGGAAATTTTAGAGTAATTTACTTGGCTTATAGCTTACTTTCACGGCCAAGTGATCCAATCTGAGGAATCGTCATTGCTTTCATGCATACGTTCTTAGGCCTTGCTTGGTCAGCTTCTTATTAAGCCACTAAATTGATCAATCATTTACTGTGACAACTTCTGATTTAATCTATTTGTTTTCATCTAAAAAAAAATCTTAATTGTTAAGCTTGCTCCACAAAGATTCAGGTATGTCTTTAAGGGTGTGTTTGGTAAGCTGGACAGGGTGGGACAGGACAGAACAGAACAGATTTGTCCTACGTTTGGTATGGCTTAACGTGGAACTAAGTAGAACTAAGTAGTACAAGAGTGGGACACGCTTGTTCTCCTCTACCCCATGGAACTAAGTGGAACACAACTTTTTTTACCTGATTACCCTTTCCCCACCCGGCTTATCGCATGAAGACTTAACCCCCCTTCTCCTCCATCGCTTCCTTCATCTCTTCCCCTCCACCGCTGCTGCTTCTTCCTTCGGTGCAGAGTCGCTTCCATCAACGTTAGGGCAACGAATACGCAGCGACTTCCAAGGATGTTGATGGAGGAATACGCAGCGACTTCCAACGAATACGCTGCTGCTTCTTCCTTCGGTGCAGAGTCGCTTCCTCCACCGCTGCTGCTTCACTCCATCGTTCCGGTGAGTTTTTTTGTTTCTTCTGTTTTCTTTATTTCAAGGATGTTGAAATGAGTTTTATGATAACTAGATTAAATAGGGTTTTATGCAATTTCTTAATTGGGGAAAGATTAGGGTTATGTAATTTGACTAATTTGCTGCTACAAGGCCTAGAATGATGCACAGATGATGTGTGAAATTTGGTTTGTATGCACAAATGATGTGTGAAATATAGCTTATGAAACTAGATAAAATAGGAATTGATGAAAAACTTAGTTAGTTATGAAACTTGATTAATTGAAGTACTTATTAGGGCTGTAATAAACGTAGGACCAGTGTTACCAGAATGCATTTCGTAGTTAAAAAACACTGGGGGTAAATTGGTCATTTTAACCAGTCCTGTCCTGTACTGTCCTGTCTTACCAAACGCTGAACAGCTGTTCTGTCCTGTCCTGTCCTGTCCTGTCCTGTCTGCACACCAAACGCACCCTAAGTACCGTTTATTTGTTTTGCAAAAGCATCATTTTTTTATGAGCACACATTATTACACTTAACTTTCTTAAAATTCTGTTTCTCATCTTCATTTCTCTGTTGTTTCATTTACATGTTTTATTTTCCATTTTTTGTATTTTCCTTATTGTTTATTATTTGTTGATATCTTTTACTATATCTTTTTTTTTCTTTTTTACCCAACTTTTGGTTTTCTGTTTCCTCTATGGGCATAAGATTCAAATGAAGTTCATTTTTATTATTTATGACAATTAAGATAATTTGTGTAACAATTACTTTATGTTCATACGATAAATGCAAATAAATTTTATCATGGCCAGCTACATATACAAGCATTTGAAATTTCTCTTGTAATACATTTATTAGTTTGTTTCATATTATAATTAAAATATGATGTGATACGGTTATTCAACACTTCAATATGTATCTTTCAGTATTTTCAAACTAACATTTTGTTTAAAACAGTTTAGAGGTTTAAAATCGTAATTTTGTTATAAAGATAATTCATATAGAACATTTACCAATTACTTTTTCATTCAACAACTCTATACAAAGCTTCTAAACTATCCAGAACACTAAATAGTTCAACACTTGCTCATTCTGTTTTATCAAACACTAGTTCATCCATATCTAAAGAGAATCACCCAACTGATTATTCAAACTGCAACCACTTTCATAACTCAAACATGCAAGTACTCGCTTGACAAATTACCAACTTTACATTAAGAAACAAGACAAAGCATAGAGATCACAAAGGTTGGATAGTACTTCCATTTACTGGAATAAGTGAAACCAAACCAAAAGAACCCGGTAAATCGCACACAAAGTAGGGTCTAAGGAGGTTAGGATGTACGTAGGCCTTACCTCCACCCCTGAGAGTAGGTGGGTTGCTTTGATGAAGACCCCGACTTGTAAAAAAGTGCTATGTTCTGAAATATCTATACTATATTATAAAGCATTTGGATTGAAGTCCTAAAAACAAGTTTTTATGCACCAACTATCGTTAAGTAATGCATACCCCTTAAATTCAAGATAAAATGTTATAAATGCTTTTTGTACAAGTTGTTAAAGCATACTAATACCCCCACGGCCTCACATGTCGATCCATCCCTAAAATCTTTTATCCCTATTGGCATATCCCATGTAGAAATGATGACTATGATAAAATCCGTCTACACATGCTGAATTGTTGATCCATATCAGTATACCCCATGCCCCCGCCTAAAATCTCTCCATCCCCAAATTCAAACGGGGGATGACAATGATGAAATCTGTTTTGTGCGAATAAAAATTGAACTATGGGGTTGTATCTTATTTGTTTCCAGTAGCTGTAGGTGACAATTAGAGAACGAAGAGCAATGGTTATTGGGAGACAGTTGTATTGGAGAGCAACAGCCATAGAGGGCTGAAAGTGGAGAATTGATGATTATTTATGATAAGCAACATCAATTTTCCATATTGATTTCAATAATATTTTACATCTTGTTGCAGAGTACAAAACTAGTTTAATATCAATTGTTAAGAGCTGGAAACAGAGTCATAAAGAAGTTGTCTATAACGGTTCACCCTATTTGAATCGCAAATCACATATCCACGGTTTAAACAACTTTTTCCAAACATGTAAAGAAGACATAAAAGGAACATACTGTTCGTAGATCCTAACCTGCTTGCACTGCTTAGCATTGTGCTCCAAACTGCCACATACAAAACAAGGCTTTTTGCGCTTAGCTGCTGCACAGTTGGCAATGGTGTGGCCACTTTCCCCACAATTATAGCAATTTCCCCAACTGCCATCTGGGGGATCAAAATACCTAGGTCCCCGCTGGATATAATTAACTCGTTAAAAAACAGATCATAGAGTAAACATTTGGAATGCAACAATTTGATGCATTTATTCAACTTACAAGAAGCTTCCGTAGTACACTGTTATCAGATTTCTCCTCAGGATCTATTTCCAGAAACGCATCAGTCTCTTTCAATTTATCACAATCCTCTTTCCTCTTCCCTTTTTCAACCTAATGCAATTAGATTATGTTTCCCAAATGAGCCATCTAATTTACAGCTAATTATTAACAAAAGAAATGTTCAATAATGCTATTAATACTCGCTCCGGAACATGTAACGAATAACCAAGTACTTCCTCCGAAATCTTTTTGGCTTGGGAGCCCGATTCATGGAAATCACATCTAAAAATTGAATTAAACGAGTTTCGGTTTCAATTCCTCACAGTAGCCGAAAGGAAGGAAAATAGAAATCCAACGAATTTGTAAAGACAAACACCAAGCATTAAATTTTTCTAACGAACATGAAACATAAAGAAGAATTTGCGAATTTTCTACTGAATCTGAAGTGCTTACATCGTTTTCCGTTCCCGTGATGTCCTTTGTCTTCTTAATCTTCTTCACATCTACGATGATAACTTCAGAACTCAACGAAGATGATGAATTGAAGGATTACCATTGCTATTAACATTATTAGATGCTCTTACCATCGCTATCACTGCTGAGCAAAATTGTGGGCGGATTCGGTTCTCGTTCTTCTACTTCTTCAACATGAGAGCTTGATTCTATGCCTCTTGGGGTTTTCGTATCCGATTTCCTCATGCTTTAGAAGAAAATGGAGAAACCCTCACAGGCTTACACCACCGATTCAGGTACAGGCAGCGGCACGGCAGGCGGTTATCTCAATTTTCAACTATGCCGTAAGAGGTAATTCCGCATTTTTCACATAATTTCAACTGGGTTTGGGAGCTGGGAATGGGATATAGTAAAAAGAAATATCAAAAGTATCTGTATTAACGTAATAGCTAAATTTTAGTATAAAAAAATAATAAAAAATTAATTTGATGGGATCCATATGTATCTATTTTAAAAAATCAAACATTGTTTGTCTCGATAATGGGAATCGCCCCCACCTCACCTTGATAATAGGAAACCAAACACTATTTACAATTATTTTGTCTTTTAGTGTATATCGATTAAGATTAAGGGATGTTTTGAATAAATATGAGACAATTTAAACTCTTTTTTTTTCACAACCCATAAACACAATTTACCGTGACAACCCTTAAAAAATATGATTTTATGTGAAGATTTATAATTTTTACCATTTTTTTTAAAAAGCATAAATTAACCAACGAATGTTGTTATATATTATTCTAAGAAATATTTTTTTACCATACTAAATGTTGATATTTTATAATAATTGTGGACACGAAAAAAATTATTTTTATCTGATTTGGGGGATAAAAATTAGATATTATATATGATTTACGTAATTTGACCGTTATTTCGTCTTTTAGCGTATAAATCATTTAACAATTAAGAAATGTTTTTAATAAATATGGGACGATTTAAAGTGGGTTTTTTAATGGGGAGTGCTAATGACACCCCCTAATAGGGGATCTTGAATGCCTTAGGATTGAATCATACTAAAAAACATAAAAGGTCATAATCAATCAAATAAGCTCACGGTCCTGGTGTCTAACTCTCCTCAAGTATTTACCGTAATACCTAAGATCCTGGAGCCCGACCCATACGGGTTCATCACCACAATGCCCTAATTAAACACCACAGAGATACACTTACAAACCAATGACCCTAGGGCCTGACTCCTCACGAGTGCATCCCATAATACCCTCGACTTAGTGTTAACTCTACTTGGTCAAAGCCTCAAAACAAGGGTCCTAAAGTCCAACTCAACACGAGATCACCTCTGTAATACCTACGGTCTTGGAGTCCAACCAACACAAGTTCTTGTCTACAATACCGGCTATGGTCCCAGAGTCCAAAACCCACACGGGTTCCTCTCCGCAATACTGACACAACCAAGTTCAACCACTCCAGGCCTATCGCTAGTGTGAGTGCCAAGCTCAACCTCTCTAGGTCTATTGCTCATTTGGACGCTAAGCTATAAAACAGGGGTAATGATCCCATTTTTTCAAATTATCAAACTCACTCCTTACCTTTGGATCCATTGTATTACAGTCTAAATTACACGACACTAGTTGAATGAATAACGCACCCAAAACATATAATTTATAAATAAATATATGCCATAAATGCATATAACTCCAAACGACCCAAATAGGCCTCACTCACTAGTAGCTAAGCAATTCTTCATGTTGCTTTTTAGAACTCCCTTCTTGTATCAGCAAACCATCACCTATTAATACAACACCGACATTAGTTGATTCCAAATGAAGAGCAATACCTATTGTACCCTCCTGAAATTCTACTAATTCACTCGTCATTACTTCATCAAGACCATGAATACTAGCAATAACATCACCTGCTTGAAGTACGGTACTGGTATTTACAATCTTTACTTCTCTATTGTATTGCTCAATACGTTCACGGATGATATTATTAATTTTGTCGGCTTGAATGGTTATCATGAGTATTTCTTAATTCCTTTTTGAAGAAAAAAACAAATAAAAAATAATGCCTAAAATACAAGGATTAATCCATTATTTTTTTAATCACCCCCAATATGCCAATATTGGCACTGACAATGTAAATGTAACTCGTTGTTTAAACAACTATTCAGAGTTCCTAGAGCTCCTTGTAAGGCTTGTTGGAAAACCCGTAGTCAAATTTGATTACTCGCCTTTTGTTGTTCAAAATTTATATTTTCATTTTTGTAATTTTCTAGTTGTTCCAAAGTCCCTAAGACTCTTTTAAGTCAAGACCAAGCCAAAAGCTCAACAACTCAATTGACCATTAAATAAAGGTCATCAAAAACAAATAAAACGTATTTAACCAACGTTTATGTGAACACATGGCCTAAGGACATATTTAACGCAAAAACAACCATTGGTTGGGACAAACCATTTTCCAATCAAAATCATACCATTTATATTTCCAAAATGTCACATAATGTAAAAATATACTAAAATGCATTAACACCAAAATAATCTCCTTTTATACGATAAATCATAAAAAGAACCCAAACATATGATTTAATTATCAAAATGTCCAAAACACCCGAATATGGGTGTTTCTCCAGATTTATAAACCCATTGTACAAAATGTAAACCTTATCAAATAATAGTCACATTTGATAAACATCAAAATAGACATTTTTGACATGTACATAGTTTTCACAAAGTAACTTCACCTTCCTAGATTTAGACTAAATCTAGGTTCTACTCCAATCTTGAGCTTCCAAAACAATGAATGATTTAGATTTACAAACTTCCAACTCTAGAAACTTTATATGAGTCACAAACAAGCCTAGAAATGTACCAAAAGTAACCCCAAAATCAGATTCATGACAAACTTCAGTTGAAACCTCAAATGACCCAAATAACTAAAATTGGTCAAAACTTCAAAATATGGAAGATACATCAAAATAGATGTTCTAAGATGTTAAAATGAAAGGTTTTTAACAATAAATAAGGTTTATAAGGTCAAGATGGACATACAAAACGGTTTTGGGAAAAACCCAAAACTTGGTCAAAATGGTAGGGAAGATAGTTCAAGAAAATGAAAATCTTGAGCCCCAAACCACTAGCTTTGATCTTTAGCTCCAAATTGTTTAGATGCTCTTAAACCCATCCAAATGGTGAAACAAATGCTCAAGAATCAAATGAAAGGGAGGAGAAATGAGTTAGAAGAGATTTGGTGAAAGAAAATTGAACACAAAAGTTGAAAATTCGGGTTAAAAGTTGAAAATTCGGGTTAAAATTTGATCATAATGCAAATGTAGGTTTCATGTGGGTAAAGTCGCACGAAAGTCTCCTTTGTCCAAAAACTTCATGAAAGTCGCTTGAATGTCACTTGAAAGTCGTGTTTGTCACTGCTCGTGCGGTTTCTTTGTTTTTCAAGTCCGAAATGATCTCCAACCATCTTCATATGATCATTATAAAAATCCTCATAATTATCATCATTAACCACATTCATCAATGAGATTAATCATAGATGAAATCCCAAAAAATCGTGGGTGTTACATTCCTCCTAACCCTCAAATTGTTTTCATCCTCAAAATCTAGCACCGATCAAACCCTCAAGTAATCGCATTTTCGCAAAACAACTGACTACCTTCCCAAGGGAGTGTCTCTAACCCAGTTCAAACTCAAATTGGAGCCCGATAATCTCTTGCCAAGACTACCATGATGATTTGCACACTGATTCCCACATGCAATCTTCAACCCGATACATTACACCACTTTTAGGGTAAATACTGAACATTATTTGAACAATTTCCAACAATACGATTTTGGTTGTCTCCCAATAATTCATCACTAATTACCAAAATCAAATCTCCTCAAAGTCACCATATATAGCTTGCGAATGTTTCGTTGAGTTCGACCGAGGTGGCCCAAATACTCCAATGGTCTTTGTCATCTAAATCGAAAGTCGACTCCTAAGGTCGCAAAATAACACTTGTGGTTATTTTTTGAATTTCTAAGAGGTGTAAATTTCAATGCTAAATATACATGTTTTTAAGCAGCCTATATTGAGTTATTACCCACCAACCCTATTAACACCCCTAACCCCACATTCACCCATGGAATTTCGACATCTACGAGTTGTTAGTAATAGTGTACAACTTGTTGAAGCTACATGAAAACCATCGCCATGCCTGTTGCCTAACCCATGATTCTTTCCTTCCCACTTACCATTTCCTCTAAAAAATCTCTCCAAGCCTTTTTTCCGTTTCTTTCTTTACTCAACTATGATGTCAGTGTCTACAGTAAATTCAACCCCACTCTCCCATCAGTTATATCTTCTTCATCCTCGTTATCGCTAATTCTTTAATGGAGATTAATATGAGAGGCACCTTCTCTCTATTTTTATTTGTGTTTTCTTAAAGTCTTTAAACTAATAAAAAAATTGATTTTTGTTGAGGGAATCTCGATGACGAGCGTTGGAAGTATCAATTGAATCCAATTCACAACTTCCCTATCAGCGACGAACCAAGGTAAGCTACTTGATTTTCTTTCGGTAATCATTTTAATGTTGTAATCCTCTATGAGTCATTCCCCTAACCCTTCCTGCCTTTAAACCAATTTTACGTGTGTTCTTACTTTTCAATATCATCATGTGAGTTGATATGTAAATATCTCTCTGTTTCTAGTGCACGGGAATCGACGGCACAAAGTGCTTCACATGAGTTAGAGAAGTTATTTGAGCTTCCCGGTCCCCAACCTGACAATTCAAATGGGGGATGAAATCATGACTCACTATCATAAAATTTTCACAATAAACATTTTCAGTTTATAAATCAATGGAATTTGGAATTCTTGCAAATCTTGAAGTTGAAGATGTTCATCATAGGGTTTGTAAAAGCAATGGTTATCTTGTGATTTCTTGCAATGGAGGACCTAATCAAATGCAAAGAGAAGTGACTAGTGGTCTACTTCCATTTTCAAGTGGAATTGCTTCAACATTGTTTTCGAGTGATTAACACACCAATTTGTTATTTATATATGCAAAGTTGTGGCAAGGTTATAGTTGCTAAATACTTAAATTCCCACTTACCATTCCAGATTGGATAAATCATCATTTTGGGTTGATCCAAGGTAAGTTAGCAGCAGATTACATGAAATCTGATTTAAGATTTGAAATATATGCTCTAGTGACTTTTAGGAAATCTTAGATGTTAATCATTTCATCAAGTCCTGTTAGAACCCTATTTGTAAAAGTGTAAGTAAGAAGCCTATTACTCTAGTCAGATAGGACTTAGTCTTAGAAGCTGTCTGGACCAAGAGCTCTGATGCAGAGGTCACCAAGAGGACAGAGCTCTCTCTTATAAACAGAGCAAGAACCTTGCATGCAGAGCCTGTGCTCAAATAGAGGAAGATCAAGTCTTAAGTGTCAAAAAGCTTAAGGACTTGATACAGAGCTACCTTTCCAGATACAGAGCTACCTTTCCAGATGCAGAGCCTCTGAGTCTCCTACGCCCATTGTTTGTGCACAAGTGGTTCCATCATATCTCCAAGTCTCCAACCAGAATCTAACACATAGGCAGAAACAGTTTCACATTTCAAGGAACATGAAGGCAGAAGATTCTAAGCAAGAAGTCAGAGTTTGAAACCTAGAATATAGCAGATTCTGTTGGTACTTGGGCGTATAAAAGGAGGTCTCCTCCTTGGGTTCAAGTGGACTCGAATTGCCAAATTCTTTTACGCTCCTACTATAGAGATTTCTTGTGAGAACTAATTTATAGTTGAGAGTTTACTTGTAATCTCTTATACTAATCAAAGCAACCGATTTGTTCAATCTTGTTTTCATTCATATTTGTTTTTGATCAAATCTGTTAACCATTTCAGTTTCACATTAGTCACTTCCATTCGTACTCTGGTTTATAGTTTATTGATACATAAGAGGATTCTGGGTTCCTACAAGTCCCTTTATGGATGAGATTTGTGATTGTCTTAGGCTCATAGACTATCACCTCTTTACACGTTTTAACATGAAAACACATCTAATTTTGTGAAGGAGATGTGTATATTGGTAACAGGCTCTTCCCTCTCTCTACAATGCCACCTTCAACTCAATTAAGGTATAATTCTCCTATAATTTCTCCTAATTTTTGTGTGGTTACCTTCATTTGTGATTCTTTGCTTGCATGCTACTTTATACCCTATTTTTCACGTGATTTTTTTCTATAAAAGAATGGAGGACAAATTCTCATGTGCATTCTTCGTTTACTTTCATTGATTTTTGGTCTTTTGGATTTTGATTAGACCGATATCTTTTTAACAATATGTTGTTAGAACATATTAGAAATTTGGATGACTGACCATATGTTAAGTAATTACTGTAATAGTTATTTTGCACCCATTATACGTCTCTTACACAAGTTTTAATTTTTATGATGCTTGATAAGTATCAACTTATTTGATACTTTTACACTTTTTCTTACTTTATTTACCCATTTTATTTTCCCAAAATTCCGCAAATTAAGTCTTTTTGTTTTATTTTTCTATCTTTTTTTATATTGGAGCTAAATTGATATGATAAACATGTTTACTTCTTGGATATGTGCTGAGTTTTGGAAAAAATAGCCATGTTAATAGGTGTTTGGCTGAAGCATGCTACAACGTGTGCTGCAGGATGATTCCAGAAGCACTTTTGAGAATAATACGAAGAATCTTTTGATGTCAACTCCCCCTTTTGGCAGCCCATCTCCTACAGTTTTTAAGATCTTATGGTACATATTTAAGATCTGATTTTTGACTAATATTTAGGTAGCTTTGCTTTACCATTTGGACAATGTAAAAAGTGGGGTAAAAGCTTTATCTTTTGGTCATTGTCCTCCCTTCTCCTACTATATAAAGGGGGAGGCTTGACATTGTAGAAAGAAGCAAGTCATTTGGAAAGTAAGAACTCTAGCAAGTAATTTGGGAGAAACAAGTTTTTAAGAAACTTTTGCAAGTAACTTTGGAAATATTTTATTTTCTTTACATATAAGTTTTCTTTATAATTCTTTTTTACATTTATTTCTTCTACTTTCTTTTTATTCTCCTATTCTCTACTTATTATGTTTTATTATTCATGCAATTAATTTTATTATTTCAAGTATTCTTAGTCTCTTTTATAATTCCTCTTAGCATTTATTTCTTCTATTTTCTTTTCCTTTCTTATGCTTTATAATTTATGCAATTAATCTTTCAAGTATGTTACGCTAAAAATATAGCTTGGATGTTGGGTGATATTAAGAGAAAAACTGATTCCGTTTGTAGAAATATAAATTATAAATATTTGCAACTACGTCATTCAAGTTTTTATTGCAAAAACATCATCCATGAACAAGTTGATCACTTGTTTAAAAGTGTTAAAGTGTGTTGGATTTGGAGATAAACCAACAAGCACACGTCAACTTGAATGATATGGAAGTATGCTCGAGGGAGTTACTTAGAATAGAGGAGACTCGTTTTCACTCCATTTAGCTTACAAAAGGAATAGTTTGAGCCAATGTCGAGACTTCAGCCTTGCATAGAGATATGAAGGCTTAATCTATGATTGTGTGCCATTCTATATCTCGAGAGATTACCTTAAATAAACTATTAGTTGTAAAGATAAGTTATTTATAAAATCATGCTATAGAACCATGTTGTAGCATGCTGTCTACTTAAAAATCGGTTTAATATCTTAACAAATCCCTACACCCTAAGCTCTCTTTTATTATTTGTTCACAACAGTAGCGTTTAACCAACTCACCACAAATATTTCTTCAAATTCACCATCTGAAATCATATCTTTATTTATATTTTTAAAACGAACTTTTATTCCTTTTCTCCTTGGACGATATTCAGTATTTTTACCACTTTATTACTTGTGAAAGACGATAGTGGATTGATAAGTGTATACTTGCACTAGTCTCCATTTGCTAACAGTCCGAGAGATTATTTATATAATTCTCATAACAATGCTCTAGCTTGTCAAGTTGATGACCATTAGTTTTTACAAGTAAGTAAATATGTTCTTTCCTATATCAGGTGATGTTAAGGTACTTAATATACTCATTTTCTATATAGTTATTATTTAGCATGTGCTGCTTTTTGTTTATGGAGTTAATAGTTCTGGTGACTGTAATCTAAAGGGGTGGCTATGTTTGAGAATAATTGGTAAAATTGTAAATAATCCGACTAAAAGTTACTTATTCGTCTTTACATATTCCCAAGATAGATTAAGATGAAATGTACAATTGCGAGTACTTCATTTGGAAATATGATGCGCTGTATTTTATCCTATGTACCATTCCGCAAGATGGGCAATCATCCACCATAAACATGCCAATCTTTGTTTTTCCTGTATTGTAGTTCTCTTTTCAACTCTTTAGGTGTTAAAGAGTTAGACAGAGTTTTAATGTCCCGTAACTAATTGGATCTTGATTCTGATAAGCAAATGATACAAGAGTAGAGGAGCAACATCTTCAAGTTTAAGTTTTGGAACAAATTGTTTTACCTTCTTTTTCGGTACTTAATCAATGACACTCTGGCTCTCTAGGTGGCCAAATGTTTTGAAAGAAAGATTTTGGCCTGTCTTTTTCCCAAATTCTACACGTAAGAGGTCGTTTACTTAACACTTACCCAATAAGCACTTACCAGTAAAATTTAACTATATCACTTACTTACTGAGTAAGATTTTAGTCAACAAAAATAGCATCCTATGCACAGATTTACTTAGTAAGCACCAACCCTGGTAAAAGTTATCGCCCTCACTTACCGAGTAAGACTCTCGGTCCTTGCCTCGCTCTTACCGAGTAAGATTCAGTAGGATTTGTGTGAGGACTTTTTTAATAGTATTACCAGTCTCAAACTTTTTTAGTTTCTAGGATCTATTTCTTAGTTCAAGATCCTCCATCTATCTATTACAAATACAAATGATAAACAATTTTTTCTAGTTGATTACTATTGAGGGTTCAAATCCCTCTCTCTTCTTTTTTGCTTGTTGAATAGTAGCTATGGGAGGCTGTTTATCATGTATTTGTTCCCAAAACAACAACTATATAGTGTTGTTATCGAGTGCAGGTCCATAGGGGCGAATTGGGTCTGTTTCATAGTATTTTTGGGGATGTTTGAGGTCCGTTTTGGGGACGTATCTGTTTAGAAATTGATTTTGATTTTGTCCTTTCGTCGACGTCTACATGGATTCGATAGGGGTACATTGTGAGATGGTAAGAGTATTACTTGGGGTTCCAATCGAGCTGTTATAAAATTATCGTCACATAAATTTATGCTTGCATTTCTCATACTATCAATTTATTCAAATTTATAAATCTATCACTGTATTTAAGGTCTGTTTCAAGTACGTTTGGAATCTGTAAAGTTATTGCGTATACCCGACTAATAAAGGCATAACACTAGTTAGGGGCCGTTTACCTAAACACTTAGTCGGTAAGCACTTATCGGTAAAATTCAACACTATCGCTTACATACCGGGTAAGATTTTATTCACTAAAACGCATCGTATGCAACAATTTATCCCGACAACCATGGCAAGAGTCGTCATCCTCACTTACCAGGTTAGACTCTCGATTCTTGCCTTCGCTCTTATCGGGTAAGATTCCTAGTCCTTGACATATTCATTCAGTAATGTAAAATGACTTGATAAGTACTTATTCGGGTAAACATTTGGTAAACGTCACCTTAATAATAGGTTTGTGATGTGTGTTTGTTTTTCATTTCTATTTGGGCTCTTTCTAGTAAGCTTGCCTAAGCCTCTCACGTGTGAATCCACATGGCAACCACGTTCTAATTCGCATACGTTGAAGCGGAGTAGTTTGATCATTAGATTCGAAAATCTCTCCTCATCTCACAAACTTTACCTTCTTCCTCTCACTTATTAAACTGCTTTTTCTCCTCTCTTTCACACATAAACACCAAAAACACACACACCAACTTCCTTTTTTTTGAACAAAAACCATTCTCTAGGGTTTCCTTAATCCCTTTTTCATAATCAAAACCCCCAAAAATATCTCTTGCTATCTCCTTACCTGATAATTATACAACCCACAATCGTTCATGTTTTTGTGGGTTCTTTGCTTATGACAACAATCTATATTGTTGGAGTGGAAATTTGAGGTCTTTGCCCCTTTCCGATGCAATTGCTGTGATGACTCATCTCCTTGAACGATTATTTGGTAATGGCGGGGCATCTTTTTTCGATAGTCGTGCTTTCTTTGTTTGTTATCGTCGTACCAAAACCTGCCTCGATCAGTGGGGTTTTGGCTTGGGATGATGGCGATGGTTATGATGATGATCTGTTAGGGAGTGACGACGGGTTTGGAAGTCTGTTTCGTCAAGACTACTCGCCGCCCGCGCCGCCGCCACCGCCGCCGCACCCGCCGTCGGCTTCTTGTGAAGATGACCTTGGTGGGATCGGTTCTTTGGATACTACTTGTAAGGTTGTTTCTAATTTGATGTTAACCCGGAATATATATGTAGCTGGGAAGGGAAATTTTTATGTACTTCCCAATGTGACCGTCAATTGTTCGGTTGTTCCTGGATGTGAAATGGGCATAAATGTTACTGGTAACTTTACTTTAGGTGAAAATGCCCGGATATTGGTTGGGTCATTTGAGCTAGAAGCTATGAATGCGGCTTTTGCCGATGGATGTCTTGTGAATACCACTTCTTTAGCGGGTGATCCGCCGGAGCAAACTAGTGGGACCCCTCAAGGGCTTGATGGGGCTGGTGGAGGTTATGGAGGAAGAGGAGCCGCGTGTTTGATGGATGACAAGAAGCTTCCGGATGATGTATGGGGAGGCGATGCATATTCATGGTCGACTTTACAGATGCCATGGAGCTACGGAAGTAAAGGTGGGACTACAAGTAAGGAGGCTGATTATGGAGGAGGTGGCGGTGGGAAGATAATGCTTGTGGTTAAGGGTAATATTGAGATGAATGGTAGTTTATTGGCTGAAGGTGGGGATGGGAGTCCCAGAGGGGGAGGTGGTTCGGGTGGCAGCATCTACATCAAGGCTTATAAGATGTAATCTCTTTTTCCTTTTTTCTAGATCTGTTCAAGTATCATAACTTATCTAGATTGCATAGATAACAATTGATATGTTTTGCTAATTGTTACTGTTTAGACATGAAATTTTGATAGTTAGTGAAATGCTCTGGAAACAATTTAATTATGGAAATCGAATAGCCTGTATGTATGTTGGTGGGTTTTGTTGTTTGAACTTTGTCAGGCAAGACTCTCAGGATTATATAACAGCAGATAGCTATTGTAACAGTCCTGAAGAGGACTTTTTGTTATTACTAATTTTATGAGCTATTGAATTCTTGTCATTTTTGTTTCATGAATTTTGCAAATAAGTACATATTATATTTGAACTTACTTTCTATGTTGGCTTTGATTATGAATGGTATGTTGTGCACTCTAATATTTTGTGAGCATGGCTTCATTTATCAGCAAATTGTTTCTGAGTTGGGAAATTTGCATTGAAATCCTTGGCCCATATGATGGCATGTGCCAATCATGTGAACTTTGGACATCAATATAATAAATTAAAACAACAAAAAATTGGAACATGGTTCACTTCTTTCTATCTAAAATGAGAAATATTTTTCTCAACTAGGCTTACTCACGTCGTCCTTTCTACTTCTTGACAATCTAATATCCTCTTATTGACTTCTGTTGACATATTGAAGACTACAATTATGATTCTTAATCACAGGGACGTTCCAATTTTTTTGGAGGCCGTGCTACATCCAAAACTTCTGATTACATTGCATAAATGAGATAAAAGAGAATATATGTTAAGAACAAAAATGGGCTAAACCTAAAACGATTAACAATCTGAAACTAAACCTAAACCATTAATGATTTGAACCTAAAACATAACAATTAATGGTTTGAACCTAAATAATTTCGGCTATAGTTTTACACAGGTCGATAAAAGACCCTGATCCCATGTAAATTTGGGCCCCAAAATTTCGGGGGCCTTGTTCAAAATCTCACATTTAACATGCTAAGGGATGACCCTGCTTAATCAATGTAAGAAACACCACTGCCACCAGCACCGACAAGAATACTTTTATTCCAAACTAGTCAGAGCATGCTAACAAGAAACCCAAAAGAAATTTCGAAATGATGAACTCGTATCTACTGCCAACTCTTGGTATGGTCTACTCAAATCTCATTTTACTAATTCGGCCATAGTGCCATGTGAATCTTGGTACATGTCATCTCTTCTAACTGGTCCACCCAATGATCTAAGTAGGTGATGACCAAACCATATGAATAGGTGTTATTCTGACCTAAGGACACTTAGGGGAATGTTTTTGTATGAAGGGCCTTGCCTTTTCTTTTAGTTTCTTAGAATTTGGGTTCTATATAACAACCTTTTTTGTATGGTGGTTATGAAGTCATGTCCAATACCTTCTCCCATGAAGCATCAATGGCCAAAAAAGAAGTAATTCTAATGATATTAAAATGTTGGATAATGCAAACTATGATGCTTTAACTTTCAAAAGAACTTTGGTGCCCAGTGGTTGTGATATAATTAAACATGGGCATGGTAAATGGAGGAGACTAACTAAGACGCAAATCAAAGTAAGATCCTTTGCAGATGTTTTACGTACATACAATTAAAAAAAAAATAAAGAATCTTCAAACACGAATACTTTTGGATATATTACAAACACCAATCTTTGCTTCTTAATTAGGTTGCATCATCCTGAGTTTAGAGTACTAAGTTGATATATAACATCAGCAAGTTAAATAGGACGAAGGAATGAAGCACACATTTGGCATCTTTTTAGAAAATCTGGAACCACTATGATGAGTTGTACCATATTTATGCATGGATGCAACTGTATGCATGGCCCTTGTGAAGCACACATTCAAATACTATATTCCTCGTGTTGCTTGTAGAATATTTTCTCAGATTATTTGTTTTACACGTTGCTTGTATTATTTTTCTGCACATGCCTTTGCATGTGTAAGACGTGGTTGTTTGTCATTCTATTCTTCACATATTATCCTTTCTCTGTTTCGAATGTATGATACTGGTTTAGTAGTGGACTCCACATGTCCCTTTTTTCTCTATGCACATAGATGTCCATCAGAAATGAGACCCACATTTATTTTTTGTTAACACTAAGATAGGGCATATCCATATATGTAGTACATCAGTTAGACTTCTTTTGTAAGCATGCCAAGTCGAAGCTGCAATTAATTTCAGAGAAAGGGAGCACATTAATTAGTCTTAGTGGGTCTTGGTGATATTCTCTTGGTTGTGTAAATGAATGACTGACTTGACTAATGTATGCTTTAATAAACTGAGCTTCTCGTTTTGAAGTGCAGGACTGGAAGTGGCAGAATAAGTGCTTGTGGAGGTAGTGGCTTTGGCGGTGGGGGTGGAGGAAGAATTTCTACGGATGTGTTTAGCAGGCATGAAGACCCTAAAATCTTTGTCCATGGTAAGAATGTTATGTTATTCTGCTGTCTTATAATGTATGAGTTCGAGTTCATGTGTCCTTAATCTGCATGTAAGTAGGCTATCAAGAGTATGGTATCCATTCTTTTTTGGATCTTTGTTCATTACTAGAAAGCATAAGAAACATTGACCTATTTCATTGCCATTTATTTTACTAAGGGTGCTGATAAAAATTCTCTTCCCGCATTGGCTCTTCATCTTTAAGAAGTTGTAATAAATTACTCCCTATTTTCAATTTCTCTCACCTATCTGGAAAGATAACAGGCTTGGAAAGAGGAAACCCTAAATATCAAAAACTCAGTTTGGAGTTAGTATCTATGTTCATGTAAAGGAAAGTGAATATTTGTCTGTGCTTCATGTATATAATGCCTTTATTATGGAGTTATAGTTTATGAACTGATTGAAGAACTTATAATGCCCAGAATCACAGAGAGAGAGAGAGAGAGAGAGGAGGACCTTAAATTGCAACTTACCATCATATTGTCCTGCCCTTTGTGTGTCTTATGTGGGTTTTGTTTGGGTGAGATTGGAGTATAGGTCGATGTGCTCACCTCAATGAATTAGATTGTATTTTTTACAAGAGAGATACCAAATAGACGGTCTAGGACATATCAATCACAAGAGAGTTAAAGCAACTTGCTGGCCTAGGACATACCATATCGGTGCTTTCTTTCTCTCACCATAAAAGATCTAACCCATAATGCTCATTTACCATAAAATCTATTCCACCAGTCTCTGACTATTCTTCACAATGCATGCTGATACATTTTCAGGTGTTTACCTTACATAACTTAAATCTGAAACTGAATCAGATCCTTTCCATTTGGATTGTCCAAAAACCATTGTATAGGAAGAGAAAGGGCAACTCGCTATTTCGACTAAAATTATTACTACTATACCAAATATGGCTCATGAACTCCTTTATCTATTTATTACTTGGTCATTATGCCCTTAATTTGTAAACTACATGTTTGATTGTATATATGTTTCCTTTTTCTTCTGTTCAACATAGCCATAAGTAATAAAAAGTTGTCGCAGGAGAAATCCTTATGATTGCCACAGTTAGTCATCGGTTGCAACTCGTTATCTACTTTCAGAAGTCAAAGCACATTTTCATGACTTTAGAACAATACTTCTGTCAACGGTAAACAGAACCCATCTATATGATGTCAGCATTTTCTCTTTTGGTCAGGCTTCCTACTAATTGAGAAATCACTCCATGTCAATGGATTTAGAAAAAAATGGCAATGAGGCTTTGTAAATGACAAGAAGCATGCAGATGATAAATTAAAATCCATCGGAGGTGAAAACCAAAGTCTGATCATAAGCCTGATTAATTGTTGTCATTGTAAGTCATAGGTACCACCTAATGATCTATTACAATTAGAAGTTAAAATACATTTTTCAGAACATTAGAACAACAATTTATCATCAACTAACAGAACCTATCTGGATGGAAATCAGCATCTTCCCTTTTTGATGAGGTTTCTACTAATTAATAAAATCACTCCTTGTCAATGAATTGAGAAAAAAGATGGCAATGAGTGTTAATTAATCATACATTCAATTAATATAGTTGTGTGGATTCAACCGCCATAGTTGCTCAGCACAGTCCATTAGATTTATTCTTGCATTGTGAATCGAAAAGGCTCTTAGGTTGAGACTCCATCATGCACCAGATACCAGATCTCTTCCACTAACTATGCATGTTGAACACTGTAAATTTATTACCCCTTTGACACCTTATTGTTAAGCTGTTTAGGATCCTGGAGAGCAAAGTCGATTCTAAGGTGTGTTTGGCAACCATAAGCTGGCTTATTTTTTGAGCTTAATGAAAAAGCTTTGTTTGGGTTGTTATAAGCTAGCTTAGTAGTGTTTCAATACGCTCCAAGAGTTTTTTCCACTTTTTTCCAATAGGCCTCTCATTATTATTAGTTACAATTAATTCCTAATAATTTTTTTTTGATATCAATTATTTTGAATTATTATTAATCATACTAACTATTATTATATTATTATTATTCAATAGATTAAATCAACATATTATATTAAGTTTAATTATGTAAATGTATTTATTTATTTGAATATTTAAAAAATGTATTAAACTTCTTAAAACAAAATGCAAGAAACTTGTATGAAAATTGCAGGACAAAAAAAGTGACTATAATATATACACACGCATATATTATATTAATTAACATTTCTATCTAATCTCAATTTATGTATTTAATAAATTATCTTTTGTAAACTTACTATAACAAAAATACGATAAACTAACCCAATTCTTATAAGAACCACTCATTTTGGTGTTATCTTATAAGAACCTTCTGAAGAACCTCAAAAAGTAGTCATTGTGGATGCTCTAATTGTTGTCTTTTTCACTAATAGAAATCCACATTTATACTTATATATAATTAATAGTCAAATGGAAGGAATGTCCAATAAACCTATATAATTGAAAAACTCTTCTATTTTTGTTACTAATTGTTTTAATAAGATGAAACGTATTAGTTAACTTTTTTGTTACATTATGTAATTTTAGAATGGAGTGATTTTTTAACATTTCCTTTTTGGTCATTTTACAGTTGTCAACTAGCTTATCAGCTAGGTTTTGCCAAACGTTATTAGTTTATCAGCCAACGACTTTCTTAACACCCAACAACTAGCGTATCAACTAGTTTACCAAACATAGCGTATGTAGGATTGTCTCAGTTTGTTGTTTCATGATCATGTATATATCAATCGTGCTATATTTAGCAAAAATGTCAATTCTTGTGCATGCAGTACTATTTACTCATACATCTCACTTATGCAGTTAAGCATTCTCTTACTTCTATAAGTAGCATATTGAACATGAACTGATAATAAAGTGCATCTATGATATGGATTTAGCTATCCATTTGCAAAAAGCTTTAATAACAAAATTTGATATTTTTTACATTTAGAAAATAAAACTTCCTGATCTAAACTAACTGACAGCATGTAGTTGGCTTTAGATTCACTTACCGATTATGAGATGAATTGGCTTTAGATTCATCTACAGGATGGTCCATTTAGTTGTTCCTCGCTTATGTTCTATGTAGCCTAATCGTTTGTCTAGATCTGTTATTCCACCATCCAGTAACATCTCATTCTGAACTCTTAGCTTGACCTTACCTAATGTTGATATATGCTGCTTTTTAGCAACATTGAGTTTCATCCTCTTTTTTCTCTCTTTGCCCTGCAGGTGGTAGTAGTCTTGGCTGTCCATCAAATGCGGGCGCTGCAGGAACTTTTTATGACACTGTGCCCCGTAGCCTTATAGTTGATAATTTGAACATGACAACTGACACGGACACACTTCTAATGGAGTTTCCATATCAGCCTCTTTTGACTAGTATTTTTATTCGAAATTTTGCCAAGGCTGCAGTTCCCTTACTTTGGAGTCGTGTTCAGGTTCATCTCCCCTTGCCCCTTCAATTATGCAATTTTTGCATAATATTTGGCAACTCTTTCAACAATATCTTACCTGTTTTCAGGGTTCTAAAAGGCGCGCAATGGCATAAGACGCATCTCCGCCATTACGATAACGCCTTTAGTGTTTGTGTAAGGCGTGACTCACGTCATGGCACTTTGAGGTGTGCCACGGCGTGCGTATTTTACAAGGCGTGACTTTTTTCAATTTTTTTAGTTTTTGTTAAAAAATTATTTTTTAGTTTTTGTCTTTCTACACTTTAACAGATTACCTAATCACATCACTCACAGTTTCATGGATTCACACACGCCATAAACTCACAGTTCAAACGAAGTTGTAAGACCCTTTTAAGTCATATTTTGAATATTTGATCAGACTCTTTATACAATACAATATATGATTATTCTTCTTCTAATATGAATTTACATATTTTAATATTATTATCTCGTGGAATAATATATAGAGAACATATATGTATATATATGACATACAAATTTGCCACCTTATGTCACGCCTTGAAAAATATGTCCTCGCAACGCCTCATGCCATTTAGAACCTTGCCTGTTTTCTGTGATGAAACAACCATTTAACATGTTTCTGCCTCCACATCTAACTGCATGAGTCCACACATGTTTCATTGAGATTTATGGTGTTACTACACTATCCTCTTGTTTGTAATTCGAAAGAAGAATTTGGATATGCATATCTTATCTCAATCCGTACGATATTTTAATCAGGATCTGTGCCCTGTTTGAGTGTGTTTTGCTACGTGTGAATATATGTGGCACAATCAGTTTCATGACTTTGTGTTTATACCTATGCTAGTAATTAATGCATACATTTGTACGTATATGTTAATTTGTTTATTGTAATTCTTTAGTTATGTGTGTTGTTTCATATCTATAACTATTTAAGATGATCAATGGCGATAATGAAGAAGCTACAAATTATAATTAAGTCACAGGAAAAGAATTGGAAAGAAGTGTAGAAATTGCACCTTATATGTACTATCTTCAAATTGCATTTTGCATCATCTATCTTCATTTTGCATGTGACCTGTGTTTCTCTAGAATAGTTAGCCACTTGATTTCTTCTTATTGCTAGTCATGTTATTTCTAAATAACCAGCATGCCATCAGTCAGCAGAAGCTAACTACTTTCTGTTAGGTAATACCTTGATGTAAAAAGGCCAATTTGTCACTAATAAATGTGAAAAGGTCATATATAAAATCCCAAACAAGTGAAACTAGATAAAATTCATTAAACTCAGGCCCTAATAAGGCATGGCCTGGTAGCCTTCGACCTTCAGCCACCTCCTTCTGTCTTTCACATGTGGAAGAAATGTTCTCATGAAGTTCTGAATAAAGAAAATACCAAAGTAATCCCTTCTTGTTTGTTGTATTCTATTCAAAACATGGATGACCAAATCCTTCCCATTGGCCTTATGCAATCATGTGAAATTCCCCATCTCTGCCTTCTATAGTCACTCTACAACCACCCAAACTGTTGAAACTTGATATGGTGCTTATTTTTTCTATCAATCTGTCCCGCTTTATAATTCAAGGATGTAGTCCCCTTGATTTTATTGAATGTTGACTGTTAAAAGTTGAGTTGGTCAAGAAATTTTATATACACTGCACAGCCCATATGCAAAATTGGCAATCATAATAAATGGTTTTTGTTGAAATGTAAAAACAAGGGAAACATCCAACTAGTACAAATTTTATAACGATCTAAAGAAGTTGAAGTAATCTGCGTACTGCTATCGAAATGACCAAGTGACCCATGTACATGAATCCCTAAAACTAACAAACAGAAAAAAGAACAGAAACGCTATGGTGTGTGACGGAAGTGGTGATGGAATTGATGAATGGGACACAATTCTTCAATAACAATTTTCTCCATTTCTCATCGGTGCAATTTGCCCTAAGAGGCACTCTCCACTTCCTGTTGGGTATTGAGATTAACATCATTCATATCTAACAGTGGACCTAGAAACCAGAGTTACGTAACAAGAATAAAATTTGGATACCATTATCTACATATAAAAACAGTAAATAAAAAGAAATGCATCGTCTCTTTTCAAAGTTCAAATTAATTAGAACTCTTAATTTCTCATTGATTCATCTTCTCTGATGCCAAATGGGCACTATTTTTCTGCAACTTAGGATACTTTCTTAATCTGTGGTCTTCTCCACATGTGAAGGTAGTGGTTGGAGGTAGGAGAAAGTCTCCAAGGCCGTTCCCTTATAATAGAGGAATATGGATGTAATTTGTTTTTATCTAGTTTCCGTCTTGTTTTATTAAATTATGAGTAGACCTGTTTATGACGAAATGAAGTAAAAACGTCCAAGAAGTTGCTATTTTCTGTGAACTGGAGTTCTTTTTTCAAGATATATGTTTATTTCTTTTTGTACTTCCACAAGCATGCTGGCTGTTTAGAAATGAGTCCAAATATGACGGTTCAAAAAGGTATCACTTCTATGATATGGCGGTTCACTCATCATGGCCATGAAGTCATTTTCAGATTCTTATCATGTGCTCCTTTAGGTACAAGGCCAAATTAGTCTTCTGGATGGAGGTATCTTGAGCTTTGGGTTGGCACATTATGCTTTATCAGAATTTGAAGTACTGGCAGAAGAGCTGCTGATGAGTAATTCTGTAATCAAGGCAAGCAACTACTTTATCCAATTCATGGTTAAATATATGTAAACCGTAAATGGAAATTCTGCACATATCCTTTCTGCATTTTTTACTCTGTTCAGGAGATTTATGCTCTTCCAGTAGTATGATATTAAAACCGATAAAGTGAGTTTGTGCATCAAAGGTTTACCATTTTAAGAGGCAAAAATAGAGAACCATTTAGGTATTTCAGTGATTTTCCAAATAATTCTTGGTAAATATACATGAAAAAAGAATAATTGTGAAAGAACCCCCTCGCCAAGCACTGAAAAATGAAAATAAGGAAAGACAACAAATTGCACGCAAATATATTGTGAAACACAATATATTAGATCCTGCAGCAGCAACGTTGAACTGTAATTTTGTGTCCATTTGCATGTTGGGATTCTAGCCAAGAACTATTACTAGGCTGAGTTAACTGTTACTTATCGTCTTTCAACTCTAGAGACATGAGTCGGGATCTTTGTGCATTGATCGGATTTTCTGGAAAGCAAATCATCCAGAGGAAACAGAAAAAAGAAGAAACTAGGAATCAATCATGAAGCCCTTAGGCATCACTCCGGAGTTTAGGCCTTAGGGTGGTTGCACGTAAGATTTAAGGGAGTCCCATCTGCTGTTAATTTTCTGTACTCACCACAACCTGCTTATTATCCCACACTAGTTTGCTGAAGTGAAGCCGGTAAAAGGAATTAAACAGACAAACAAATATGAAGAGATGAACCCCCTAGGTTCAGGACATGAATGGTGCCTCCTTCGATGCACTCCTAGGTTTTTGTGTTGCCATGGATTTCCGGGCCAGCTTATGTGCAATGACTAATCCCCTTGGCGACCACGAATATCCTAGAGTCATCGCAGGTGAACCTCCATAGTCACAAGGGCTTTGGCAGTGCCTGGATCTGAACCCGGAGTGGATGAGATTTGCCACTACATCCCCCTGAGGCTTAACCAGTGCACCACACCCCAATTTCCATGCACTCCAATTTGAGGCCCACTCCCTTGAATATTCCACTTATGCAAACAGGGCCGACCGTGATATATCGGAGGCCTTGTTCGGTTGTGCCAAAAAATAAGTGTGGCCCTATAAATAGTTTTATTTTGTTTGAATAATCATAAAACAAACTTCATATAAATTGCATTTTGCAAACTGACCGTGACACCGTTAAATTCATGCTCATATATCTTCTATAATCTCGTTTTTTGTTAACCATGGGTGTCACGGCCAACTTGCATGCATTTTTACTAATCACATAAGACCCTAAAGATAACGGTCATAATTATTGTCTTGATAAAAGAAATGATTAATAACGAATGAGAATAAACTCATCGGAACATATGAAAATGAAAATTTTTAATCAAATAAACCAACTTTTTAAGGAGGTTGTAAATGATTGAATATGCATATTCAATTGAATTTTTGTGAAGGGGTGCGAGTTCGAATTATAGAGAGAAAAATGTTAAATAGGATTAGGGAAAAAGAGCCCGTAAACCTTAAATTGTAAAACTCTAAATTGTAAAAATCTAAATTGTAAAAATAGAAATAAGATATTTTGAAAAATAAATTAAACGAAATATTTTAATTAATATCATTATAAGTTTGTTGATTAATGCTTGAATATGTTTTTTCGACTAAATATTTGTAGAAAATTGTTAGTTCGAATTATATAGAGATTAAAAAATAAAAAAATAAGAATTTAAGATAAATCGGCCAGAAGCCCTAAACTGTAGAAAAACGGAACTAAATTATAAAGAATAGAATAATATATATTAAATTAGATTTAGAAAAAAAACCCTGCAGATTTGAACCTAGGTTCCTGACGTATTTGCTACATGTCCTGACCAACTAGAGTAGATGCAATTTTGTTTAAAGTTATATATCTTTCATCATATATCATAACTTTATAAAATATATAACATTAAAAGACTATCGGAGGCCCCATGCGTCTGCAAGACCGGCACACCCCCAGGGTCACACATGCGTGCAAATGTCTGTTCACCACTTTCTCATGAAATTGTAACCAAATGGAAATCTCTGTACCCTTAAGAGTGACATTTCCAACATTGACTTGTAATTTAACCAAAGTGGCGGGTATCTGGACCATCCTTTCTAAACAGTTTTCATGAAACTACTCGCTCATGTTTTATGAGTATCTGTTTTCTTGTGGAAATTCTTGAGAGATAAAATGCTAATTATTATTTTGGGATTAGTATTAGAGGCTGATGCAAATGAGGGGTGAAGTTGCAATAATTTGTATTGCTATTACACCTTTGCCGTCTTACAACACTAGTACATTGGGGTTGGTTCCTTAACTGTGATGATTGCTTCTAAAAAAGAAGTTGCCCCAAACATTCTTACGTTTAAAAGTAGGACAAGTTGATCAAAAATGTTACTTTAACATCAGTAAGGTGATATATATGGGACATGAAGTGAGACAATTAACCTGGGATGAAAGGATCGTCTTAAATGCAAAAGGAAGTGCTTCCCTATGCTAGCTAGAGTCAGAATAGGGAAAATGAAAATCAACTTATGATAAACTTGATCAGTCCTTTGAAGCATGCACAATTTTTATTGCTATAAAATGTGCCTATGATAAAGCTGCTTTACTTTTGGTGTAATGCTTAAATTGACATATATGCTTTTTGACAATGAGGTTTGATCAGGTTTATGGAGCTCTGCGTATGTCGGTAAAAATGTTTTTGATGTGGAATTCGCAATTGCTTGTTGACGGTGAAGGTGACAGGAACGTGGGGACTTCCTTTCTTGAGGCTAGCAATCTTATTGTTCTCAAGGTACTCAGAAGACTATGATATGCTATTTTCTAAGGTATGATGCACGATCTCAGTTCTTGTGACTGACGGCACATTTCTTTCTCAGGAATCTTCTAGAATACATTCTAATGCAAATCTTGGGGTTCATGGGCAAGGTTTATTAAACTTGTCAGGGCCAGGCAACTGTATTGAAGCACAACGGCTAGTTCTTTCACTGTTCTATGGTGTCAATGTAAACATTCTACATCTTTATATTCATTTTTCTGTCTAATAATGTTATATTCATATGAAGGTTGATAAATTAAGAGTCGACTATGAACTCTTTTATCTATCTGATATGTATTGTGCCTTGTTCACACTTCAAATGTTATGCTCGTTTTATGTATAACATGTGATATTTCCTGCATGTAATTTTTTTTCCTGTTTCATTTTTTCTAATTGCAGTGTTGAGGATCTCATTTTTATGTGGTCTTAGTAGACCCTAGAAAATGAACAGGGAAAAAGGAAGGTACTGATGTTCTTGTTAAGTTCAGAAACTAGTCCTGTAAGTTAGTGTAAACAGCCATAGGTTTGTTGCTGATAACTTTAAAGGATAAGAACTGTGAACCTTTTGTCCCAAACTAGATGGGGTTGACTAAAAAGGAGAAGTATAGGAAGGTAAAATTGGTGAATTAGCCGTAGGGCTTAGTGGTGTTGTCAAAAATAACATCCTTCACCACTTACTATCCTCGATCCATCCTACCAAATTGATTATTTAACTGCCTATAAGGCACATAATATTAATGGTCTTCTGATTACAAATTAATGGTGGATAACATGAACAGAAACTAGTTTTGAACAAGTTAAACCTGAAGTTTGACTTAGAGATTTGAATGTCATTATACTTCCTAGACATACATGCTACCAGATGGCCATGAATCACAAAATTCCTATCTGAAACTAAGATTCTTTTCTATCTTGTAGTGTTATGTTGATTTGCTGATTTTTTTATTGTTCAAAACCTGATTTCTTCTATAAAGTTGGTCTCTATCTCTTTCTGGGGTATAAAATAGTTGGGAACAAATACTTTGTTGGAAAAAAGAAAAGGGAGGAGAAACTGAAAATAGAGTTATGCCTGTAAGCAGATTCTAATTATATTGGATATACAAAATCTTGATTTTGAATTCATTTAGCAAAAACGATATATGAATTCAAATTATAGGGATATTTATGATCAAAATACCACAATTCAAGAATTAAATGTTATTGTTCAGATTCAGCAAAGAGAATCCGAGAACAATACAAAAGAAAGCAGTCAGAATATCAAGTCTGTTTTTGAATCTGAATCTTAATAACGGAAATTTATAATTTTTAAACCTTAAACAAATTATGAAGTTTCATCAAATTGACATAATTTACAAATGACAAGCAAATAATAAGAAAACAAAAACGATACATGTTAACTGAAAAAATGAACATGTAAATGTTCCAAAACCAAATCTTGAGACATGACATGACCTATATCATTTACATAATTATCATGTGCATTATATTGTATTTACTTCATTACATTATATTAATATGATTTTTTAAATACATAGAATAATCGGTCGAATATCTTGTCAAAACTTATATAACAATATCAGAATTTGTATTTGATTAGTGTTGGATGAAGTCAAATTCAATTTTGTTGAAATTGGATATCTGAGCTTTTATCAAATTAGGAATTGGTAGGCGAGTAGATTTTGCCATCTACTGGCATAAGAATTATACATAAATGCTTGTTATACATAAGAGTTAACTTGAAAGCAACACTTTTTGTTAGTGCGGTAACAAAATATATAAATCCTAAAACTTTTTGATGGATTTCTACCAGGGGTAAACACATCCTGTTAATTATTGTGGTTGTAGATTGTAATGCAACTACAAGAGAAGACCTCCTAAACCACCATTGAGTACTACATGAAAGCTATTCATAACTCAAGCCTTTCATAAAATTTAACTTCTTTTAAATTCCCTTTGTTGGTCTCAAAAATCAAATATAATAGAACTACTACCTTTTTACCATTATATCATATAATTTTTTCTAATTTTCATAGATGATATCTGTATTTTATTAATGAGGGTGGGCTTGTGGAATTCTTCTTTATTTAACTTGTCAAAAAGAGGGAGTTACAAAGGCTATATATACACAAAGAATATGAAGAATAAAAGGAAACGATTCCTAAGATATTCACAGTAGCTAATTAAAGAAGATATCACCCATAATCTCCAATTCCTATTTTACAATGATATCGAGTATCTTTAAGGATACCGAGTATGAAGTATCTCTAAGGATACTGAATATAGTTCTACACCCCCTCAAGCTAGGGAATATATATTGATCATTCCCAGCTTGGAGCATAGATTTTGAAAAGCCGGTCTTTGGGGAGCTTTAGTAAGGATATATGCAATTGTTGTTGTGACGACGTGTATCAAATACTAATAACTTTGGTCTCAATTTTCTCGCTTATGAAATGTCGATCAATCTCAATATGCTTTGTCCAATCAAGGTGGACCAGAGTCTTTGCAATTCTTATAGCTGCCTCGTTGTCGCATGAGAGTTTGACCGACTCCGAAGTTTCAACTTTGAGTTCATCGAGAAGTCGCTTAAGCCACATCTCTTCACATATTCCGTGTGCCATTGCCCTATATTCGGCTTCTGCACTACTTCTTGCAACAACTGATTGTTTCTTACTTTTCCATGTGACAAGATTTGCCCCATACAAAGTACAATAGCCTGAAGTAGACCTCCAATTAGTGAGAGATCTACCCCAGTCTGCATCAGTGAATACTTTTATACCTCTATCTGAACCTTTGATAAAAGCAATTTCTTTCAGGTGTCCTTTTGAGATACCTCAAAATTCGATATGCGGCCTCCATGTGTTCATCTGTGGGATTGTTCATAAACTGGATTACAACACTTATCGGGAACCCAATATCGGTCTTTGTGAAAGGTAGATTAGTTTTCCCACTAGCCTTTGGTACCTTCGTTTGTCTACTGGAATGTTGTCTTCCTGTTTCTTTCAGGAGATCTAGGACATACTTCCTTTGAGAGATAAAGATTCTTTTTCTTGATCTAGCAACTTCCATTCCAAGGAAATACTTCAAATTTCCAAGATCTTTAATCTCAAATATCTTGACAATAGAGTTTTGAGACAACCAACTTCTATGTGATCATTGGTGGTTAGGACTATATCATCAACATAAACAATATGGCAGTTACCTTTGGATTAGAGGTGTGCTTAACGAAGAGTGTGTGGTCCGCTTGGCATTGACTTTACCCCGTTCTTTTGAGAACTTTAGAGAACCTATCGAACCAAGCCTGTGGGGACTGTTTTAGGCTATAGAGTGACTTTTTGAGTTTGCATCCCTTGCATTGATTTGCCTGTGATCATTGGTCTGGGTAGAATATCCATGAAAACTTCTTCTTCAAGATCGCCATTGAGGAAAGTGTTTTTTACATCGAGTTGGTGCAGTGGCCAAATCTAGGTTTGGATCGATAGATAGCAAGACTCTGATGGTGTTGAGCTTGGCAACTGGTGCAAATGTTTCTTGGTAGTCTATCCCATATGATTGAGTAAATTCTTTAGCTACCAATTGTGCCTTGTATCTCTCAATTGTTTCGTCAGATTTATACTTCATTGGGAAGATCCATTTGTAGCCTACCGCCCTCTTTCCTGGTGGAAGGTCTGTAATCTCACATGTTTGGTTCTTCTCCATCGCCTTGAAATCTTCAAATGTTGTGTCCTTCCATGCTGGTTTTGTAAGGCGTCGTGAATAGAGGTGGGAACCAAAGTTTCATCCAATCTTGACACAAAGGCACGATAAATGGGTGATAATCTCTTGTAAGTTATAAATTTTTTTATTGGATGTGAAGTACAAGTCCGAACCCCCTTTCTTAGAGCAACAGAAAGATCTAGATTATAAGCATTAGTAGGCTCACTAGAGCGCATACCTCGAGATTCAGGAGTTGGAATTGGTTGAGACTCATGGCACTGCTCAGATTGTATGGCTTGTACTTCCTTCTCCTGCTTCCTTTTCCTGGTGTAGACTAGCGTTTCTTTTTGGGGGTTGAGGTGTGTATTTTCTATTGGTGCCATAGGATTGGTTGAATGATCGGGTGAGGTTAGTTTGGCTGGTTCAGTTTCTAGCACGTGGGGAAGAGAGTTTGATCTTCTTTGTTTTTGGAATATATTGGTGGAAGGGATTGGATTTGGGTTAATGTGAAAATGTTCATTCGTGAGAGGGTGTTTAATCATATCCCCCCTGAACATCTGTGTAGTACGGTTTGTTTTCGAAGAATGTGACATCCATGGAGGTGAAAAACTTCCGTTCAGAAGGGGAGTAATATTTATACTCTTTTTGGTTTGGAAAATAGACGAGACAAATGCATTTTGAATTTTTGGGGTCAAGTTTGCTTCTTTGATGTGGATTAATATGGACAAAGGCTGTACACCCAGTTTTTTTGGAGGTATGTCTGAGACGAGATGAGTGTTAGGAAATGACTGTAGAAGGACCTGCCATGGGGTTTTGAATTTCAGGACTCGAGATGGCATTTCGTTTATGAGATAGGTAGAGGTGAGAATAGCATCTCCCCAAAAGTGTTTGGGGACATTAGAGGTAAAGAGAAGGGAACGAGCGGTTTCAAGTAAGTGTCTATTTTTCCGCTTGGCAACCCCATTTTGTTGAGGGGTATCGACACATGAGCTTTGATGTACAATCCCCTGCTCAGAGAGGTAATTGCCAAGGACATTGTTGTAGTAATCCGAGACATTATCAATTTTTAAAACTTGGGTATTTGTGTGGAATTGGGTTTTTATCATTGTATAAAATTTGATGAAATCCTTCATGAGAAATACCCAGGAGAGACGAGTATGGTTATCCACAAACACTAACATTACTTACTCTTGTTTTTCCCCATATGTCACTATGTATCAGAGAGAAAGGGTGAGATGGTTTGTGTAATTTAGGTGGATAGATTGTGCGGGTGTGTTTTGAGAATTGACAAATATTACACTGAAATAACCGAGGATTTTTATTTCCGTATAATGATGCATATAGTCGAGACAAATAACTAAAATTAGGATGACCTAAACGATAATGTAGATTTAAGATCTCACCATCCTGCTGGTTCTGACTTGATATTGGAGCATTGGTTGAGTTATTCGTTGGTGCAAGCTGGGTATGGTGACTTGGATCAAGTTGCATTTTAAGTTGGTACAAACTTGCACTAATCTCAGCATTGCCAATCATCCTCCGCGAGTCCAAATTCTGAAAAACAACCAACGTTATGAAAATTAGTGGTGCGATTGCTATCCAAAGCGAGTTTACTAACGGATAATAAATTGCAATTGAGATTGGGAACAAAGAGGACAGATTGGAGATTGATATTCGGTGACACTTTGATGGATCCGAGGCCTGTTACTTTGGAGCAGCTTCCATCGGCAATTCAGACGGATAAATGTGAGGAGCACGGTTTCAAATCATCAAAACAACTGTGGGTTTCCAGTCATGTGATCTGATGCACCGGAATCCACTATCCAGGTTTGAGATGATTCATTTAAGAAAGTAAATGCTGCTGGAATACCTGTTTGAGCAACATTTCCCGACCTGGTGCCATAGCTATTGTTTGGATACCTGGTTGTTGGACCGAGGCAAACATCTTTTGAAGCATCTCCATTTGTTCTTTGTTGAATGGAGGAGTCTCGGCCTGAGGAGGATTAGTTGTAGATACAAGGGTTTCACGACTTTTAATGCTATTAGTTGCTCGTATAGGCTTACAATCAGTTGGCTTTTCATGTATTCTCCAACAGTTATCCCGGACATGGCCAGGTTTGTTGCAGTGGTCAAACCACGGCCTTCCACTTTTGGGCCTGCTAATGATGAGTGATTCCCTCCTAGATGTGAATTTGAGTGCTGGTATGAGGATCCCCGTGCAACAAGGGCAAATCGGTCGACTTCTAAGGTTGAAGGGACTGTCCACATCATGACTTTCTTACGGCTTTCTTCTCTTACGACCTCCGAAAACACTTCCCTGATTGGGGGTAGTGGTTCGATTCCTAGAATTCGTACTCGAACTTCATCCAGGTCCTGTTGAGTCCCATAAGGAACTTGAATATTCTTCTCATCTCTACCATTTTCTGAATTGTAGCTTGATCTGCAGGGCACTTCCCTTCATGAACTTCATAAAGGTCGAGTTGCTGCTAATGCCTAGTCCGTAGGTTGTAATAGGCAGTGACAGATAACTCTCCTTGACGTAATCATGGAGTGTGCTTTCAATAGCAAACAATTCTGTAGTGTTGTCGTTACTGGAATATGTATCTCGGGCAGCCTTCCATATTTCTTGAGCCGTAGAGTAGAGAAGAAAATTTTCCCTTATTTCTAGGATCATAGAGTTAATCAGCCATGCCATCACCATGCTGTTTTCTGATTTCCAGTTCTTGAAACTGGGCTCATCAGATTTAGGAGCAGGAACAGCCCCTGTGAGGTGATCTTCCTTTCCTCGACCACATATGTATAGCATGACCGATTGAGACTATTGAAAGAAATTATGGCTATTTAGTTTATGACCAGTAATCGGAAGGAAACTCTCAGTTTCCTAGAGGATTTAGATGAGAAGTCTTTGAATTGGAGATGACTTCTGAGTGGTTTTGGTAAGAGGATTATGTGCCAGTCATAATGATATTGAGGAAGATGAGTGGACAACGATAGCAAGGGGACTTTGGAGCTTATCGTTGTTGCTTAATCGCTATTGTGATTGAAACACAGCAGCAAGATGAGATTAGTCTGGGATCAGAGATGCTCTGATACCATGTGGAATTCTTCTTTATTTCACTTGTCTCAAAAGAGGGAGGTACAAAGGCATATATACACAAAGAATATGAGAAGAAAGGGAAAGGATTCCTAAGATATTCACACAGCTAATTACAAGGAGATATTAGCCATAATCTCCAATTCCTATTTTACAATGACGTCGAGTATCTCTAAGGATACCCAATATCTCTAACATACTGAGTATCTCTAAGGATACCGGGTATTTCTACAGGGATTTGGCAGAATTGGTGCTTACCGCCATAGAAGCACAAATGTTTGGAGGAAGATTGATTTGCAATATGCTTGAGGAATTTCATTGCTTATGTTTAAACATGTAATAGAACTTAATACCTGAGAACAAATGCAAATACATGTAACCTCTAAATGTGTGTTGGTTAAAGTTAGATGTGAAAAATTGACCTTCGACCCAATTAATTTTAACAGTAGGATAATGGAAATGAAACCCAACATGCTTCCACTTTAAAACCTATGTCCTTGGTTTTAGATGTTGATTTGTTAAGTTTTCTTGTTCTGGTCATCTCTTACTCACTTGGCGGGAAATTGATCTTTAGTCTACATGATTTCTCATCTTCACTTAACTGATCTCTTTGTTTCCTCTGGTTTGAAGGTCGGTCCAGGATCTGTTCTGCGCGGTCCCTTAGAAAATGCTACAACTGATGCTGTGTAAGTTGATTGCTCTTTTGTCATCATAGCCTTACCTCAATACGCTTCATTGTTGATTTACTCAATACTATTATTCTGAATTTACCAGGACTCCAAAATTGAATTGTGATTCTCAACAATGTCCAGAAGAACTGCTTCATCCACCTGAAGATTGCAATGTGAATGCTTCATTGTCCTTTACTCTGCAGGTGATGGAATTTATTAATAGTATTGTGAGAGAGGTGGGCCTCTCCTTAGCTCTGACTTTTGTTTCTGTAGATATGTCGTGTTGAAGATATCATGATTGAAGGCCTTATAGAAGGGTCTGTTGTGCATTTCCATCGGGCGAGGACAGTTACTGTTCACTCTAGTGGGACAATCAGCACATCTAGGATGGGTACGTTCACTAACTGAAATATAATAATGAATTTAAGGAAGAGATATCTTGATGGAAATTTCGAGGTGACGTTAAAGCTCAGAAGGCATCCCTTTTTCTATTGGCAGCGGAATTTGGTAGTTATAAAATAACATGATTCACAATGGTGTTTCCTTTTTTCTCCCTGGTAAAATGTTTAAATATGGTCATTGGTGTCTTGACAGGTTGCACAGGAGGTGTTGGTAGGGGGCAACTATTAAGCAATGGCATTGGCAGTGGGGGAGGATATGGTGGTACTGGTGGATATGCTTGTTATAACAAGACTTGCATTGAAGGTGGTCTTCCATATGGCGACGCTGATTTGCCTTGTGAACTTGGTAGTGGAGGAGGAAATGATAGTATTGCTGGCTCAACTGCTGGTGGCGGTGTTTTAGGTACTGTTATTATCATCCTGATTCAACTTGTGATTTTCTTTTTCAGAATAGTTGTGATACTAATCTTCCTCTGATATGTACCTTCCGTTGTATCGTAGGCTTTTGCTTTTTGTTCTATTTTTGCATCCTGGAAGAAGTTGAGAATGGAGTGTTACATCTATATTTTATTTGCATATGACTTCTTAACTTGCTTATATGCTTCTTTTGCTGTATTCACTTCACTATCAAGAGAGCTAATTTTAGTATCTGCCTGTCTCACACTCCCAAAGCATATTTTTATTTCATATCTCATTTTCCTTTGCTTGAGGAAACACCGAGTTCAGGTCTTCTTTCTGCAATATATTGTTCGTTACTTACTCCAGATTCTTCATTTCCATGTAAACCTTTCCTACCTTCCTTCTGCTTTGCTGCTTTTAACGACTGAACTTTCCTTATCTCCTAAGGTGAATAAAGGAGGTGTTTCAGTTACTCAAAGTGTTTGTGATTGGAGTTATCATTGGATGCTGCTGCTATTGGCTTATTCTATTTGCTTTAAAAAATTTATTAGTTATATAGAGTTGAGAAATATATTGTAGATTAGTTTCACATGAAATTGGAAAGACAAATTTTTATTAGTTCTATACTTCTATCGAGGTGAGAAATAACTTGTCATTTATTAGTTAATTTTTGTCTATCTCCGTGCTTTATGCTAGTATGAATATGAAATTATCCTTTCAAGGTTTTGCTAACATGTCAATTATTTTGATGTGCCGGGGAGGGGGAGAGAACTCATATTAAAATAAGTTGCGCTTATGGTTGCTTTGTAGGATCCAATGGCCAAGTGGTATACCTGCACAAAATGTCGATTTTTTTAACAGCAAAATCTTTATTGGTTCTACCATGTGTGAATAAACTCATTATTTTTTTTGCTTTATATATGCAGTAATTGGTTCATTGGAGCATCCTTTGTCGAGTCTGTGTGTTGATGGATCACTTACTGCCAATGGAGGAAGTTATGGAGAAAAGGCCTTCAGCAATCCATATGATGTATATAGAGGTTCTGGTGGCGGATCTGGCGGTGGATCTGGCGGAACAATTCTTTTGTTCTTAAATGCCCTCTTACTTGGTGAATCTGGAGTTGTTTCAAGTGCTGGAGGTTATGGTGGTCCAAATGGGAGTGGCGGTGGTGGCGGTGGAAGAATTCATTTCCACTGGTCACATATTCCAACTGGGGATGTATATCAGCCGATCGCAAGTGTCAAAGGGAACATCTCGATTGGGTTCGTATCTCTTTTCTTTCTTCTTGCTCTAATCAACTTTATGGTTTGTGAAATGAAATGCTTGGATACAACATCTGAAGAAGGAAATGACCACACACATTAAGAAAGCTATATCCCAGGGACCAGGTATAGGGACAACAAGCGGTCCTTGCACCATTCGCACAAGCATTGAGAACATAAGCTTAATATGTACACCAGATTTAAAATAATCGTCTCCTTTGAGTTAAGGATCACTTAGAATGCATATGATACTAATGCTGCATCTTTAGAAAGACGTGACCGTTCATGAAGGCATCTGTAATTACCATCTCTTGAGGGAGTACTAGAAGATAAAAATCTGATCTTTCTAGTATTTATAATCTGACCTTAGTATCTGTTAGTTGAAGTTGATGTGATCATGCTTGCTTGCAATTCATTTCATGTCTTTTGTTGTCTGTCTCTTTTGGGTGTTTTTCTGTTCATGTGCTCTCATAAATCGGCGTGTAGGCCAGAAGAGTTGGCTCATCAAAAAGCATGGCAAGCATGAATCTGTGCTGAGTCAACAGGCCAATATGCTATCGTATGTTGTATCGTTACCTGCATCTTTCTTATCTTTTATCAGCCTGCCTTAATTAGTTAACCCCATATATTCCCTACCCATGAACATGTCACCCCATGCCTACCTCCCCCCGTGTTACCTTACCCCATATCCACTTGGTCCATGGTTCACTTTTGCCTTTGAGTTTCTAGCAAACATCTAAACCTAGAAAATACGAGTTAAAATTATGAAGCATAAAAGTTATAATATCATACGAAATCAAATGGAAAAACAATGTAACCATAGGAAAAAACAATATAACCGTATTATATGGAATTAAGTACACACATATAATACGCCCTGGTTTACAAATCATGATTGGGATTTCTCATCAAAGTCTTGTATATTATGAATTGTTAAGCACAAGATTCACTTGAAAGTTTCAAAAGTAGATGTTTGTTTGCATTTGAAAATACAAAATTATTCGTCAATGAAATGAATTACATATCTTTTTTTGGTTGATAGATGATGAAAGTATGTCCCAAGTACTAGGATACCCTCCCAAGGTATTTTTTTGAGTCTTGCCTTGATCATTTTGAACTCCTTGCTTGTTAATAGTTGTATATATCTGATAAGTGTTTATTATACTATAGTAACAACACGGCCTTATGCTTGAACTTGGTTAGATAATCAACTATCTTTCAAATGATTGATTTAGGTAATTGAATTTTCCTGGTTGTCAAAGAAACAACAAAATTAAAAACCTAAGAGAAAAGAAAATAGAGAACACCAAAACGATACAAACCCTTGTCAGAATCATGGCAAGAATCCTTATCCTGATGTGAGAATAGAATAAATGATAATATAAGAGACGTAAAGAGAGGAGAGGAAAACTTCATGCTATCTGTCTTGATTCAGTGACTTGGAGGCTTGGAAGAGATGATGGGAAACCCTGGCAAGACTCATGACCACTATACATGACAAAAGTCCTCCACATACATGAATTTGGTTGAAATTCAGGGTAGATTATCTACGTAAACAAATTTAGGTAGATAATTTAGACAAAATTCCTAGTTGTTTGTGAGTTCATGTTGGTTGCTGCATGAATCTAAAAGTACAAATCATATGATTCCTACATAAACAAATTTAGGTCTATAATTTAGATGAAATTCGTGGCTGTTAGCGAGTTCATGTTGCTTGCAAAATGTATGATTTTGACAAGGTTGATAGACAGACATACACTGGCAATATTTGGAAAGAGCTGAATGGGCTGAATAGAACTTATGGCTTATTCAGTAAGCCATATGAAGCTGTTTGGAAGTGGATTAATGGCTGGGAAGTTGACTTATTCGGTCAGTTAAACAAATGGAATTCTCTACATTCAGCCGACTACTCAGCCATTTATTCCCCATTTACCTTCCCTTTTACCATTTGCTTCCACATTCAGCAGCATACAATGAGGAAGACAACAGCAGCAGCAGCAGCTCCACCTTTGGTTCAATACTCCCAGATCTCGTCTCTTCTACCTCTTTGTTCTTGATATCGTCTCTTCTTCACCTCTCAGCGCCGTTAAGTCTCTGGCGAAGAGAAACCAAGGCTGCTGCTATTGGGAGTTCACTCTTGCACTTATCTGATATCTCCCTCCTGGTAACTTCCAAATTTTCATAAAAACTCGCTGCTTCTCCCTGAGAATGCGAACCTACTGCAAATGGTCCAAAAGCTGTGCTCCCTCCCGGTTACCTCCGGTGCTGCGCTTCTCTTTGCTACCCTCTTGTTTTAGGGCTGGAATTGAGCCCTGGAAGAAGAAGTTAGAAGAATTTTGGCATTATAAGGAAGGATGAGTCTCACTGTTAATCCCATTGTTAACATTCCATAGATTGCTCTAAATTTACATTCATTTTTTCAAGATATAATTGATGGTTGTTTAAGCAAAACTCCAACAATTGCTGTAACTGCAAGAGTTTTATTATGGGATTTGGGACTTGCTTACGGTACAACAAAATCTTTGTGTGGAGTGAATGGCCACAAGTGTATGATGAAATTACCGAGAGGTGTTGGATTTGGGTTATATTTTGGATCATATAAACAAAAATAAAAAGGGGTAAAATGGTAATTTATATTATTCCCACAATTTTTTCAGCCCAACAAGCATACATCAATTAAGACAACTTAATCTATGCAGACAAAACAACCCAACAGCTCCGTAGTTGTCTTTTTTTAATTGCCAATGGGGTGGTTTGGTTGGTGTGTGTGTTGGGGGGGGGGGAGGGGTGTTTGGCTACAGTCTGTATCTGCCCTGTACTTTAACTGTGTACGGCAAACTCTCCCATTCGGTTGATCCATGCTTTCCAACACCATTATCAACCCGGTGCGGGAAAGGGACCCTGTAAAAACTTGCCCTGTGTTTCCCCTATGACTTATGTAAGCTGACCTTACACATTAAGGCTCAGGTCTAGCAGCTTGAATAACCTAAAAAACTTGAGCTAAATCTATACAATCCTATATGAACCATTTATAGAGCTTCATCCTTGATCTCATCATCAGTTTGGCTACAGATGCTTCAGTCTCCTGTAGCTTTGTAGGAATATAGAACTGCTTAGTTCTACTTGACTGATATAACTTCTATCAGTATGCTGCCTGCCTTATCTCTTGTGCGGAAAATATCCTCAGACAAGGGAACTGTAAAAGCAACCTGAAAATATCTTCATATTTTTTCATTTTTCTTTGTTGTACATGAACAAAGCCCCTATTTTGTTTGATCAATCTTAAGATAGATGTTTATTGCTTAGCGGATAAGAAAGAACAAAGGAAAAAAGCTCATCTATAGTTCGCATGCCTCCCATATCCTTTGGATCAAAGAGAAATTGATGTGGTGCTTGTTCAAGTTCATGGATTAGAGGGTTGGATGTTCTGTTTTTTTAATGATGATCACTGAACATATATCTACATGGAGCAGGATTATTGAGCTTTAGACTTCAAACTAATGATTTATTTGGAGCCTTACAAACAAGTGAAGAAACGATGAAGAGACAAAAATTGGTGTTTCTTTGGTTAACTGGATAAATGAAGCAAAAGAGAGTAGTGTGGCTTTAACAGCCAAAGGCCATGGATAGAAGGAAAGCACACATGTCTCTGCCTTTTGGCTTAAGATAAAGTGCAGTATCCAATAAATATGCTGCCAGTCCACTTCATGTTAGTCTTAACTTATTATTGATTGCTACTTGGGTTTTTGTGTCGGTACAAGCTGTGCCAAAAAGGCCCCCTGCTCACATTTGTTATTCTTTCAGTGATGTACCATAGGAAGTTTTGTTTTTATTTTTGGAACATTTACCATACTATGTTGGACAATGACTCTGCCACCAGCATGACAAGTGTTGGTTCTTACTTTTTACACCATTAATGCATGGAGTTAATTCTGGTATTTCATTTAGCTGGATGCCAGATGGGTTGCGGGCTTTTGTCTGTTGTGTGAACTTGTTTTACTACTACCTGAGGCATCATTGGTGACAAAATCCTCACCTTGCCCAGGGGATAAAGTTGGGGTATAATGCGACAGCGATTGTGTGGGAGAAAGTAGGATTATTTTCCTCAATGTCTTCATTGATTAAGACTTCAGCATGGGCTCGTGAATGCAGCCCGTTGGTCTATTTGATTCTGCCCTAGAAACTGCAATTTGTTGTACGTTTGGAAATGTGACAACTGAAATGTAAGTCTATTAGTAGTTTCTGTTGAAGCCTATGGCACAATCACTTAAACTTCAAGGTCAAAGGTGTTGCATGTATTTGAATTCTTATATAAACTGGAAATTGGCTTGGAAAAGATCCTGAATGAAGAACATTAGTTGTTTAGTGCTTTAATATATTTGACCTGTTTCTTATTAAGGGAATAAGCCAAGCTTTATGTCTAAGATCAATGTTTGTTAGTTGCAATATTTTGGTGCAACTCAGTATGCTTATTGCAGAGGTGCATGTGGTCATTTTCATCTATATAATAAATATCGACATTTGCTATTACTATAGGGGAGGGCTCGGTGGAAACGATCGTGGTGCTGGAGAAAATGGAACCATCACTGGCAAGTCTTGTCCTCAAGGGCTGTATGGGACATTCTGTGAGGTATATCTGTACTTTCCCATGTGGGTTTTTTCCATTCTTTTTAGTCGGGCTGTGTTTCTATGGTTTATTTTTTGTTTAATTTTCATTTTCAATTTTAGTAGTTTGTTTTGAGGCTATATAGAAGATAGTGTCACATGGTTTAGAACAACTCGAATTATCCATAAATTGCCTTTAAGTATTCATGCCACACCTTTGACCTTGATACATTCAGATATCAGATTTTTGGATTGGCAAGTTGTAACTTACTAACTTTTTGAAATGAGAGAGCCTTTGTTCATAATAGTTTTGATTTTGGAATTTTCATGTATATGTACAGGAATGCCCTGTTGGTACCTACAAAAATGTTACAGGGTCTGACAGGTCTCTGTGTTTCCAGTGCCCACCCGATGAGCTTCCTCATCGTTCTGTCTATATTCCTGTCCGAGGTATTGAGTTACTGCTGATGATGTAGTATTCTTTTGGTGCAACTTTAGAGTATCTGTATTCTTGTCCGATGATTTATGTATTGATATTCTGTTACTCTACATTATGCCACCTACTTTGTTTAAATTAATTGCCAATTTGTTACAGGGGGTATTGCTGAAACACCATGCCCTTACAAATGCATTTCAGACAGATATCATATGCCACATTGTTATACGGCTCTTGAAGAGTTGATGTACACATTTGGCGGGCCTTGGTTATTTGGTCTACTTCTATTGGGCCTTCTTATCCTATTGGCCCTTGTGCTTAGTGTTGCAAGGATGAAATTTGTAGGGTTTGATGAGTCACCGGGGCCTGCTCCAACACAACAAGGATCTCAAATGGATCACTCTTTCCCTTTCTTGGAATCACTGAATGAGGTTTTTTCAATGATCATAAACTTTTTTAATATACCAATTGTTTCTGCATCCGTGTCGTGATGATGATTGTGATACCTCTGTTAACCTTTCCATGATATACCCACTGGCTTTCAGGTTCTGGAAACTAACAGAGTTGAGGAGTCGCAAAGTCATGTTTATAGAATGTACTTTATGGGTCTAAATACTTTCAGTAATCCTTGGTATCTTCCTCATACACCTCCGGAGCAAGTGAGAGATATTGTGTAAATTCACTGCCATTGTTGCTTTGCTTCTTTTTATTTGTTATTTTCATCTTTTTTAGATATTGTTGCCTTTCATTAGATTACCCTTATCTGCTACTCTACCATTCATGTTTTATCTCTTCCATCTATGTCAAACTTCTGGAACCAAATGTTCTTCGCAAAATCATGCTTTCAAAAAAAAATTAAAGCCAGGGAACAGCCTCTACCCCTCGGGGTAGACCCTGCTCCGTGTGATAATCAGTGGAGTTGTTTGGTTTGGCTTGGATGTTAACTTTAGAAAAAATGGTTCATGCAAATTCATGTTTTTAGAGATCTTTTTCAAAATGGAAACAGCCTCCATACCGTTGGGGTAGAGTAAGGTTTGTGTACATCTTATGCTCATTAGACCCTACTCCTTGTGGGACTCGCTGGGTTTATATGGTACAGATGTTGAGTAGTATCTGCGAGTGGTTAAAGGTTATGTTTTGACTGAGACTATGAGTCAGAAATGTGTTTAAAATTTAGATGAGGGTGATCCATTTTCCATATGTATTGTAATTATGTTAAGAGCATATTCAATTGAACCTGCAGATACGAGGGTGCATTCAATAGATTTGTGGACGAGATTAATGCTTTAGCCACATATCAGTGGTGGGAGGGATCGATGTACAGCATTCTTCTTTTCTTTGCTTATCCTCTTGCATGGTCATGGCAACAATGGAGACGAAAAATGAACTTACAAAGACTACGTGAATTCGTTAGATCTGAGTATGACCATGCCTGCTTGCGTTCTTGTCGTTCACGTGCTCTCTATGAAGGAATTAAGGTTTGTCCTTTTTTGAAGTTGTATTTGTTTGTTACGTCGATAATCTTGGATATTAATAGCTTGTTTAAGTCTCAAGTACTTGATTCTCAAGCCATTTCTCTGCTGCAAATACTTCTCCTTGTTACTTTATTATTATTGTTATTATCATTATTATAGTTGTAGTTTATTAAGAACTTCTTTTTTTAATTTTTTGATTTTCGAGTGCACATAACTGCAATTATCAAGGTCGCATGCTCTATCCTGTGCTCTTTAGAGTTGACGTCCTTTACAAGTAGAGTTTTGGGCTTCTTTTACTTCTCTGTAGTTACCAATCTAGTGGTTTCTACGAAAAATCAATTGATTGAAACGAGTAAACAAGTACATAACAAGCAAGGACACATCGATAGATTGTTTTGACAACTCAAAACTATTATATATTACCCGGTAAACAATGATGGATTAATTTAACACCCGAAACCTTCCACTTTGTGTTGATAAGAAGTTCTTTTGTCAATTATAGTTGGTTCTAAGGGTACTACTTTATTGAATATCTACAAGAAAGAGTTTTTCTCAAGGTGTCTTAACACCCATCATGTTGTCTCCACGGCTTGGAAAATTTGATGTTATATGATACATGCATGTTGTAGGTGGCTGCGACATCTGATTTAATGCTAGCTTATGTGGATTTTTTCCTTGGCGGTGATGAAAAGCGAAGTGATCTTCCTCCTCAGCTTCACCAAAGATTCCCATTGTCTCTATTGTTTGGTGGTGATGGAAGTTACATGGCACCCTTGTCACTTCAAAGTGATAATATAATTACCAGTCTCATAAATCAGGTTTGTTATTTGATTGACCCTGAGCAACAATCATAGTAGCCAAGACATTTGTGTAACCTGACTTGGTCTTTTCAGGCTGTTCCTCCTACCACTTGGTATCGATTTGTGGCTGGATTGAATGCACAATTGCGGTTGGTTAGTCGGGGTCGACTCAGGGCAATGTTCCGTACTGTTGTCATATGGCTGGATACTTTTGCCAATCCTACTTTGAGGATTTATGGTATACGTGTTGATCTTGCTTTTTTTGAAGCTACAACGGGTGACTATTATCAATATGGACTTGTTGTATCTGCTGTTGATGAACCTGAGTTTATTTCCTTTGAGAATACTGCTCAAGAGGACCAACACACGAGGTAACAGCTTTATGCAGATTGCTTCATATAAATAAGCTCTATGCTTTTATTGTTGCCAAGTATATCTTATTTTCATGTTCCTTTTGCTTATATTTTCATGGTTTTCTGCATCTTTGATTCATTGCTTACGAACATGCTGATGCCTTTGACAGTAACAATGATGGTCCAGCCTTTGATTCAAGAGAATTTACAAGTTTACTCCAACACAGGAGGAGAGCTGAAAAAAATATAAGTCAAAAGAGGAGTTATGGTAGGATTTTAGATATTAACACTTTGCAAGCCTTCAACGAAAAGAGAGATATATTCTTTCCCCTCTCTTTTATAATTCACAACACAAAACCTGTTGGCCACCAGGTTGGTTTTTTTTCTCTTTCTTTTTCTGTGTGTGAGTGTAAGTAAAATGTTACATCTGAACATGAGTTGATGTTTGTTGCAGGATCTTGTTGGGCTGGTCATCTCGATGCTACTATTAGGAGATTTTAGTTTAGTTTTACTTACACTACTCCAATTATATTCAATTTCTTTTGTGGGCGTGTTTCTTGTTCTCTTCATTTTGCCACTTGGGATATTGCTTCCGTTTCCTGCTGGGATTAATGCTCTTTTTAGTCAAGGACCCAGGCGTTCTGCAGGGCTTGCTCGTATGTACGCTCTCTGGAACATAACATCCTTAGTTAATGTGGTATGTCAACATTTTCTTGAATCACCAAACTTGTATAAAATTATTCCATATCGACACAAAGATACAAAAACGCATCTGTTACATGGACTCGAACCTGTATATATATTATACACAGGAATCTGCCCCCCCCCCACTATATACATATATATACATATATACATATATATACATATATATATGTTGGGGGGGGGGGTTTCATGAGAACGCCTCCCAAAAGAAAAAAAATGAAAACACTAGGAACACTCCAATAACCATTCATCTGTATGGTATGCACATGTATCCGGGAAACATCTTCAATTACTTGTATGCACATGTGTATACCGTACAAATGAATGGTTACTGTTCCTCACTTTTTAGATTTTTTGTGGTTTTCCCCTTAGCCTGACCCTATATACAAGGGTTAGGTACTGAGAAACCCTGAATAACCATTCATCCATCGCTAATAACATGCAGAAGTGCATAGAAACCAGGAAACATCTTTAACTACTTGCATGCACATGTGCATATTATACAGATGAATGGTTATTAGAGGGTTCCTCAATTTTTTATTTTTAAGGGGGTTTTCCCCTAAACCTCACACACCCCCCCCCCCTCTCTCCCCCCATTCTCTCTAAATATAAATATAAATATATAAATATAAATATATATATATATATACATAATACGTAGAAACCACCACCTCATGTATAGTCGTATTCAAAGGGAATGAACCTTAGATCTGATTTGTTTTCTTTCAGGTGGTTGCATTTATATGTGGTTATGTTCACTACTGCAGTCAGCCCAGTAATAAAGCCCCGGACTTTCAACCATGGAACATGTAAGCAAATGTTGTTGACGTTTTACACAATGAATCAATATTCTAACAGCGATTTTGCTTTGCTGCAGGGAGGAAAGCGAGTGGTGGATTTTCCCAGTTGCACTTGTTTTGTGTAAATGCATCCAATCATTGCTTGTGAATTGGCATGTCGCGAATTTGGAGATTCAAGATCGCTCCTTGTATAGTAATGACGTGGTGGCATTTTGGCGATCATGAGACCAGACATGTTTTTGTATGGGATTTTGCTGACATACAAGTAGAGAGGTGGTTACTTAGAAAACTTGAAAATCAAAACTGATATATATTCAGCCTTGTACCTGTATGTATATATAATATAGGGCAACAAATGAAAAAAGAAAAAAAGAAATTGCATTGTTTCCATCCTGCACTTATTGTTATATACATGAATATTCATATACCAAATAAATCATTGCCCTGTGTAGATTTTGGTATTTAGGTCTGTTCATCAGTTGACATTCATTGGATGTTGGATTTTGTCAACTGATCTAATCCAATTAACATTGGACAACCGATTTCATTCAATCTAGTAGATGATCGGTTGGTTATATTGGATCTGATTGGATCCATCCGATGTTAATGTTCCAATTCAATCCAATTTTCTATCCTTGTTTCAAAGCTCTTGATTCCATTCATTCGGTTTCCATGTTTCACACTCGTAAACGATGACTTCATTGAAAAAAATACAATCACCGAATTTTGCTATGTATAATATGATAAAATTAATCAACGAAAGTATGCAAGTCTATCCATTTTGATATCATTTCCAACCAACGTTTCTACAAAATTTAAAAAGCAATATTAGTATTTCATAGCTGCTAGTTTCCAATGCTTCTGCTTCATTTGTATCAACAACTGATGTTTGTCGAATTCAATTTTAGGTACAAATTAATGCTTGTCCCATTTTGTTTCACCTGTTTTTGTGGAGCAAATGAAGGTTGTTTTGTCCCACCTATTTTTATTTAACAAAAAAGCCATTTTTTGTTTCATCTTGATTCACCTACTTTTGTGGAACAAAATAAGTTTTTTTTGTCTTATCTTGTTTCACTTATTTTTGTGGAGCAAATGAGACCTATTATTGTCTTGCCTTGTTCCACCCAGTCTCAGTCGTTGCTCCTGTCTCATCTCATACAAAACATGGGACAACGAGTTTTTCTTATCTTACTCCATGTACCACACACAACCTAGTATACTTCACGACACAACCCCTTCACTTCGTAGCTTTGCCAACTTATATTCCATTTGCCTATCAATAAAAAATAAAACTTCTGTTAAAAAATTTAAAGTTATTTAATTTATAGAGAGAGGGCTTTTTCTTAATTTAAATTGTTAAGTCCCGTTTAAGAACGACAAACACACAAGTAATTGAGGGGGGTTGAACACAATTATAGAAATTTTCATTTAAATCTAATTCTTATTGATATAGATATAAAGAGAAGCGGTCAAATGCAAACTGCTAAATTTGTACAAACCGTGCAAACCACCATTATTCGTCGATTTCATTGTTTAATCTTGTAAAATTGTTTCATATAATACTTTTTTTAATGAAGTTGTTTCATATAATATGTAATGAAATTTTAATAAAACTGTTTCATTTATTTCTCTAAAATTAAAATAATGAAGAAGATAATATCTATGATTAACACCCTCCACAATAAAAATAATTAATCAACCTCCAATAATTACAAAAATTTGAACAAAATGAAAAAATATAATTGGTTAAATGAAGTTTATACAAATAACATGGTTTACAAAGTAAACATTTTCTCTCTCTCTCTCTCTATATATATATATATATATATATATAATATTAAAAAACTTGTATTTGTATAATCAAATACAAATTGTTTGATTTTTATACTAAATAAATAGTTCGAATAACAAAAATGATCATTTAAACAAATCTGTCTACATAAATGTCGAATGAAAATTGTTCAATAAATCTTCTGAACAATGGAAGGAAAATTTCATGATCAACTAATAGGGGCGGAACTTCCTTGCTGCTCTCATTTGTTGTATCCTTTTCTTGTCCTGCTCGAATTTGGTTTGCAGCATCATGATCTCTGCATGCAGTTCACTCCAATTTGTAAATAATTAACATTACATGCATCATTCTTCAAGTACTTAAACAGGAATCAATAAATCTCTAAAAGCACTTCTTAATCAACCAAAAAATCACAATTTTACCCTTAATTATAGAAAAAGAAACCTTCTCCATCCCATAATTAAGGGTAGAATAGGAAATAAACATGCTTACGGAGGGAGTAATAATATATACCGTTCCTCTGTGCCTCCCTTCTCTGAAAACGGTAGAAGTTGAGGCCTACAACGTGTTGTTTGTCTTTCTTCTTCTTCGACATTTTGTCAATCACGGCCGCCTGAGCAACAGACCCCATCGTCGTACCACTTTCACCATCTGTCGTCTTCTTCCTACCCTTGATATGCTTAACAACCGTCCATCCGCCTTCCGCTGCTTCAGCTTCCCTTTCTTCTCTTTCCTGTTTACGTAACAACCCACCACCCGATAAAAGATAAATCCCACCATGACGGAAATAGGCGGACTTTTTTAAGAATGTGCAACTATTACACTATTTTAATTAATTAAAACGACAGTTTTACCCTTAATAAGAAAGCTTTTCCAACTTTTTAATTAAAATAGAAACATGGACACGGGTTAAAATAAAAATAAGACAGCTGATGATAAGTAAAAGGGAACACAAGTAGACATGCAAAGTTGGAAACATTAAGACACTTTAGATTTAGGCGATGTTTGGTTAAAGGTATTAAGCAGTAACTAATTTTTCATTCCCCTGCTTGAAGTAATGTATACATGTAGAGAATGGCATGATTACCTTCTCCTTTTGTTCCCAGTAGTCAACAAGAAAGTCATCGATCCGTTGCAACAAAACCTCTGCCCCGGGTCTGGCACGATGATATTCAGCAATCCATCCTAACGACATCATAGAAACAAACTTAAACGATGACTAATTGAAAACAGTTTTGTTGTCTCTAAGCTAGGATTACGGGTGATTTGTGAATGTTGGTTTCATCGAAAACAGGCATCTTTATTATCGATTTTACTATGATAACGTAAACATCATATGATCATTTAAATAAACAAATAATTTCTTAATTAACCACATCTAGCTATTTGTGAAAGATGCATACTTTTCATTCCTGTTGTTTCATCCTCATCCCCTGAAGAGATTTGATAAACTTCATCTTCATCTTCATCAAGTAAACTAGCATCATCTTTTAATTGAGTTGCACCCTTTGATTTACCTAAAAAAAATAATCAAATAGCATGACATTGGCTTAAGAACAATAAATGGTAGGATATAAAGAAACAAAGGTAAGACCCCTCCGTGCCAAAATAAGTGTCCATGATGAAAAAGGCAAGAGTCCTAGAAAAATATAATTATTACCATTTTAATGAACTAAATGACAGTTTTACCCTAAGTAATAGAGGGAGTAATTAATTTTTTCATCTCATAATTAAGGGTAGAATTATAAAGTATGCACTTATTTGTTAAAAGTGGACAGTTAGGGGCCGTTTACTCTGGTAAGCACTTACGAGAGAGTCAACCTCACTTATCTTACTGGGTAAGATTCTAGCCCATTAAAATGGCATTGAATGCAACAATTTTTCCGGTAAACGCTAAGTAAGAGTCACCACTCTCACTTACCAGTTAAGACTCGGTCCTTGCCATCGTCCTTACCGGGCAAGATTCTCGGTCCTTACCATGTTTATCGGTAAGGTAAGTAACTCAGTAAATGCTTACCGGGTAAGCGTTTAGTAAATGGCCCTTTATTTTGGGATGGAGGGAGTATTAAGGAACCTGATTTAGTCAAAGTTTGTGAGTGCATACCACTTTGTTGGTTAGAATCATCTCCAGCTTCATTAGAATGCCGAACAAGTTCACAAACACCTTCAACTTTTGTATTTTCTTTATTTCTTTTCTTTTTCTTCAACTTGTTCTTTTTCTTGTTGCTCATTCCAGCACTGCTGTTCTTACCCTCCTCATCATCATCATCTCGCCTAACAGTTTCAGTTGTTTCAGCTTCAGGTAACTCTGCACCTTTTATTTTCTTTTTTCTTACAACCTTTTTCCTCTTCTTGATGGAATTGGCACCATCCAGAATATCTGCCAAATGGTTGCGGACAATATGCAATGAACAAATTATCAAAAGTTGGTCATAACATGTGCAAGACTTCCCCCCGCAACTTAAGGCAACTATTAGCAACAGCACATGGGAAGTTGGCTTCAGAATAAACAAAGCCATATGCTTCCCAAGAGTCTAAGTACACTCATATATGCCATCCTAATCCATTTCAATGTGTTTGGAATGAAGACAAATTTCATAAAAAATCCCCCTGACATAACGAATTACCGCATGAAAAAGACTCGCAACACATTTTCGATTGGTTTCAATTTATTATTGAAATAAACAGCATTCAGAAAGCAATAAGAGATGCTATCCATAGACTTCAACCCTGCTCACCATAGCTATTTGACACCAAAATGAAAGATATTCAAGTATGATTTAACTACCATGTTAGATAAAACAATCGGCATAATCAATTTATAAAACAGAAACTGAAAAGAATCACATTGCACATGCGAAGGAAAAAACATATAGAGGAGCAAAAATAGCAATAAAACTCCATTTTCATTTAAATAGCAATAAAACTCCATTTTCATTTAAACAACTTCAGTGAAGGACCCAAAAGCGTCAACAAGCCTAAACTGGTCAAGGTATAGAATACAAGATCAAGATATAAAACATAATACAAGCCAAAACAAGAAACAAAACTCAGTTGAATACTAAATGGTGTTTAATTGTCTTTCAGGATCAGAACAAGTAGGAAGCAATGTAAAAAAAAGACAATAACACCACAGACTAATGCAGGAGTAATGACAGCACAAGCTTCCGCACAGGCCCGTTCTGTAAAAAAATGGGCCCTCGATATCCTGTATGCATGAGCAAATCTTCAACAAATGTTTTTTTATTACCAAAAATAAAAGTGTATAGAACATAGAACTATATCGAGCGTTTACGGTAGAGATGGCGGATTTAGTGGTAGGAATAGTAGGGGCTCGCTTGGGGGTGCTGGTGCTTGGGGACGGGTGATAAAAGCAGTAAAAGAAATGGAGGATCTAGGATTACCTATCTTGGACTCGTTCAGTAGAAGTATTGGTAATGGGGCTGATATTGATTTCTGGTCGGATAGATGGTTGGAGGGTGTTAAATTAAAAGATAGATTTCCTCGTTTGTGGGCCTTGGAGAGGGTAAAAAGGGCGAAGCTGCGTGATAGAATTGTTCTAGCTGGGGGAGAAGGTTGGCCATGGACTTGGGATAGATCCCTTAGGAGTAGAGCCAGTCGAGAGTTTGAAGATCTGTCACGACTATTGCAACCAATCTCATTTAATCCAGGTGGAACTGATGAGTGGGTTTGGGATATGGATGCAAACGGAAGCTTCACTGTGAAAAAATTAAGAGAAATGTTGGATAGTAGGTTGCTAGATACACACGATGGGGTTGGAACTACCCGTTAGTGTTCTTTAGTTCCAAAAGAAGTCAACGTTTTCATATGGAGGTTGTGTAGGGGAGGGATTCCAGTAAAGAAAATGCTTTATGAAAGGGATTTTGACTTAGACTCTAGACTCTGTCCTAACTGCAACAGTGAGGTTGAAACTCTTAATCATTGCTTTCTGGAATGCTTGAACTGTATGCGGGTGTGAGAAAAAGTTTTTGCTTGGTGTGGTAGGAATATCCGGTCTAGAAGTTCGATTGAGGAACTAATTTCAGGCAATGGTAGAAATGGTAGCAATGGGAGTGCATCCTCATTAGCTTCGGTCAGGGAAGCAATCATTTGGTCTACTCTTTGCATCTTATGGAGGAAGAGAAATTATCTGGTCTTCAAAAGAGATGCTCGGATTGAAATTCGGGAGATATTTTTCGAAATTCAGTCAACCTCCTTTCTTTGGATCTTGAACAGGATTTAAAGCAACAAACCTTCTTGGGTGGATTGGTTGTGTGGATCTAAATTGGCAGTCTTAATGTCCGTCTAGCTCATGTGTGCTATGCTTTTGTTTTGTATCTTTTGTTCTTCCCAGTTTCTAGGTTTTTTGTAGTGTTCTGTTTGTTCTTCCTTGCATTCTGCCCCTTGCAGAATGTGGAACTCCCCCGTGTATTGTTTTGGGTTCTTCCCTGTTCTTAATATTATTGCCTTTCAAAAAAAAAAAATACAACAAATACTAATATTTAGCAAGATGCTTCTAATCTCTAAATACATCGTTAGCTAATGCATTTTTATAATTTTTAGATTTGGACAACTTACAAAAAAAACAATATACTTTATCCACATGTTTTGAATAAACTAACCCCTTTCAATCACTAGTCTCAACATTAATTAACTTTCTATCATAATAACCATAGAAGGAAATGTCTAGATGTGTTATGTAAAGAAAAAAAAATTAGTAAATTGCGAATGTGGTCCTGGAATCTCGAAGAAGTCTACCTAGATTTTTAATAAATTGCAATCTGTAGATTCAAAAAGAAGTCGGATACAGTTAAGTAAATTGCAATCTGTAGATGTAACATATGCAAATATAAGAAATGTGTAGACGACCATATGCAAAAACTGGACACAATAAATAAACTGTTTGTAAACTCAAATGCCAAATTACTAAAGATTTATCTAATAACATCACAATTGGCGAAAACTGAACTCAGAACTATAAGTCAAAAACTCAAGATCCAATACTGTTTAATGATTTGAAATTCAAATTTCAAATTTTCAATGGACGACATGGAACAAATAATTAGAAGAAATTAGGTACATGGTATGATATATAAAAGAATTTATTGGTGCACGTTGTAACAGGTCTAAGCAGAGCCGCAGACGGTAGAATGGGTGGATAAATCATTGTAATTTCCATCGTCTCTACATGAATCGTGATAGAAATTTACCGTTGCTGGAGGCGGCTGTTGAAATTCCTAAACTAACCAAGTAATCGGTGTTGATGGAGGCGGTTTGGGAATTGGGTGAATTCCAGTTACTGGAAGCAGACTCGCTCAAGGTGAAGAAGGACCTTTTAAAATTGGGGTTAGGCTTAGTGCCTACTCAGCTTTGGGCCTTTCAGTGGAACTGACAGTCTGACATATTATACTAGTTTGTTGGACTAACAATCTGTTTTGCGCTTTTCTATGATCTGATCTACATTTTTAGACAAAGCCTAATATATACTAACAAAATATGGATAAAAAAATTTCTTGTTTTTTGGACAAATTTTTTTGTCCCAGTCTCTGGATAAATATGAGAACTTATTTGTTCATAGCATCTTATTCTCTTCCTCATTTTTCAGTCCCATCTTAATTCATCCTCAAATCAAGTAAAGGAGACATATGTTCACATGTTTGTTCTCCTCCCTTTTTACAAGATATAAATTGGCTTGAGAATTATAAACAGTAAGATATAGTACAAATGATATTTGCCCCGAGCCCCCAACCCGTTGGGAAACCCAATTCACCCCCCCCCCTCCCCAAACAAACGATCAGGGATGGGGATTCCCCATTAAACCAGGTCAAGAGGCTGAGGTAATGCATTCCCTAACCCGCCCTATATCCGTACATAATATATTAATTGTATTTTATATAATATTATGTATATAAATATAAAACATTAAAAGATTACAACCTAATATACTTAGATTCCAAGGCTAAGGTGACTACCCTTGTGAGAACTCTAGTGAGCTACCAGAAATTGATGGTAAATACACTTGATCCCTTTCTGTATTTTCCATTTTTTATGCATGCATATCGACCAACTATCCTTTATACAATTATTGATTACTACCAATCCAAGTAGTAGTTTAATGCGCAGACATCATGCGTGAATTGTAATAAGTTTTTCGAGAATTCGTAATCATTGTATTTTTACTTAAGGATACGCAATCAATTATTAGCAGGGATGGATTCGGGGGTGGGCTGGGGATGAACCGGAGATGGGCCCAACTTTTAGCTGGGTGATTTCCCGCTGGGGACGGGGACGGGGACGGGGACAAGATACGTGAACCAGGGCCAGGGATTGCATTCCCTGCTCCATTGCATGCCTACCATAGACCAGATGATCGGGATGAAAAGTAAATACATTTATTAAAAAGGTACGAATGAGAAAGACTGATTATAGAACCTTATTGATTCAGTGAAAGCTTGCAAGTGCTTACCACTTTGTTCGTTAGAATCATCTCCAACTTTAGTAGAGTATGGAACATATTCACAAACACCATCCTCCTTTGTGCTTTCTTTATTTCTTTGCTTTATCTTCAACTTTTTCTTTTTCTTGTCGCTCATTCCTGCACTGATTTTACCATCGTAAACTTCACTTGGACTAGTGGAGACAACAATTTCCGTTGTTTCAGCTTCAGGTAGCTTTGCACCTTCTCTTTTCTTGTTTCTTGCAACTACTTTCCTTTTCTTGTCAGAATTAGTACCATCCAGATTATCTGCCAATATTGAAGACGTATGCAATGAATTACTTATCATCAGAAGTTCAATGTAACAAGAACGATACTTTCCAGCACAACCTCAATCAATATTTAACAATACACACGAGAAGAATTGCCTTCGGGTTAGAATAGTAAGATACAAGAACAAAAGTGTAAATTCGAATCCAAAATACTGCTCAAGATATAAGTTCTAATACTAAAATCATATGGCTTCATGGAACAAAGGCCAAAAGCTTCCCAATAATATCCAACCAAACCAACAAGCCAGTATATTCCACACAAAGCTAAGGTTTGGGAGTAGGATCCCCACGGGGTAAAGAGCTGTTTCCGTGAAGTCCTCCGGCTTGAAAAACAAGAAAACAAAGATTCAGGTGAGACAAAGAGCAGAGAAGTGTGAGCAAAAAGCAACAGGTACAGTGAACATAAACAGAAATAGGGAGACATTGGAGGGATATAAGATAAAATATACAAGAAAACCTAAATGCCACCTCTACACCCCTCCCCTTACCGGCCTCTACCTTCTCCAAACTCCCCTCCTCCCGTCCTGTACCTAAATAACCTAAACTACAGCCCCCTCCCCCCCAACACATAGTCATAGTTTAATACCCTAGTCATACGTCTCGATCCTATCAGAATACATCAAAGCGAAATATATGCCATCCCAGTTGATTAAAAATTTATTGAAATGAAGACAAAATGCATGAAATATCCCTCAAACCAACTAAACACCATGTGAATAACACTTGCACCAGGAGCTTTAATTTACTATTGAAATATACAGCAGCCCTAAAAGAAATAAGAGGTGCTCTCCAGACCTCAATCCCTCACAAACAGAACAATTTGACACCAAATGAATTCTGGAGCAACAAATAAAAAGCATCTGGTAAATAAAATTTCAATGCTCCCAACAATTAGAAATGACGTCAAAGACCTTCCAGCCTAGTGGTAAGGCTTGGGCATGGCATAGTCATGAACCCAAGTTCGAGCCCTGGGAGGGGAGTGTTGGCGACATTTAAGTGGGGCCATGTTTAGCCTCCAAATTTGCCGGGGATTAGTCGGGCTTTGGCCCGGACACCCTTTCCAAAAAAAACAATTAGAAATGACAGTGACCAAGAAATAATTAATTTTAGCTGAATTTTTCAAAATAAATTAAGAATAACACGAGATATCCTACAATAAGAATCTGCAATTTTCATTCTTGGTCAGATTGAGCTGGTTCTGTTGCTCCTACTTCAAATAAATTTGAATTGGTTAGTAGCATTGGTAATTACTATATACCATAACACATTTTGAAAATAGAGGCAACTTTTGACTGGGTTATGATCCCAAGCAAACAAAATAAAAACAAATACAAGATATAATTGATTTCTCCTAAGTCCTATGTTACCAAAATGTAAAGTAACACATCCTTATGAAATCTTTTCAAACTTCAGCTCATCCATCCTAAATTATTGATACTTAGGGTTATTTAACCAATAAATTACCAGGGTTCAAGAATGGAGCTTTGTTCCTCAATGTTTTGTTCCTCCTCTTCCCGAAACTCCCTGTCCCTTCACCCTAAAATAGGCAAATTCCAAAACAAGAACAATATCATCATCATCAGTAAAAGCAAAATCTATCACCAAGGCCGGTCCTGAGGTTTCTGATGCCCTGAGCGGAAAGCCAAAAGAATACCACTGATATATATAAAAGAAGTACTATTTTAAGGGGTTTGGAATAAGAATGGTGACGGGGCAAGGAATGCAATCCCTGTTCCCGACCCATCATGGTAAATGATGGTAGATTCATATGCAGATTAACATCATTGATGGGTTAGTTAAGCGATGTAAAAAGAGTTTACATACAATATCAAAGTGCAAAGAGATATAGTGTTGACATTAAGTAATGAATAAAGAAGCAAATTGTGATGCTAATGTCATAAAAGGGGAAAAACATAAGCCACAAGCAACCAACTTATAGTAACAAGGTAACTGTACAAGCAGTCATGAGATAAATTAGACTCAGGATTTCATTTGAGGCCTTCAAGGTTAAAGAGCTCAGTTAATATACAAATAACTCATCATGAACAATTTGTTACTAATACAAACAAGGCTAACCAAGAACAAGAACTTTCCATGTATAATCAAAACTTGAAAGACAATTGTACACACTTGACCAACAAGAAAATCCTTTTGTAATGTCTATACTTTGATACAGTGTCAACTACTCTCTTTGCCTACAGTAGTATTTTACAATGCATGGCAAAAATGATAATTGTCTACACTTGACCTGCAGGTTTTTGAAAATGCAACTGGTTAGAAACAGGACATAAGACATCATTTTACAATAAAGTACAAGAAGTAACTAACAATCTTTTTCAATTGTTTAATAACATGATAGCAGTTTGCTAGGGCGTATAGCAAGTGTAAACGGACAACAAGTGATCATTTTTTTACAGAAAGATGGAGAGTAGATGGATGAAATTAGTCATAGGTAAGGATAATAGTGGATAAATTACAATTAACTTGAAAGTCTTGGTGCAGTGGAAAAGTTCAATTGAAAGTCTTGCTGCATTGAAGCATTTCACCAAACACCTAATTTGCATATATTAAATTTCCAAATACAGCTCTATTTCTACATGAACATCAATCTACACAGAGACAAAATCCCATGAACATCAATCCAAATAAAGACGAAATCCCTTAAAAAAACAATTATGTATAAGAAAACAAAAACGAAAGAAAACAACTCCCTAAAAACATTGGCCCAATGAAGTTACTTCCAAACCTCAAAACCATTATTTTTGGAGATGGAAAACGGATTTGAGGATTTAGAGAAGCAACGACAATATTATGATAATGAAACAACAAAAATTAGGAAACAAAGGTGATTAGGAAGCAACTTACCATTTGGACGAGGAACAAACACACGCTGAGCTGAGGAGAGTCGTAGTCGTTGGGTAAGAGCGTCTAGGGCAGAGGATTACTGAATTAGAGGACTGATACGTGAACGTGAGTCAGCGAGAAGAGGCCCAGATACCTCGACTACGGTCCTAAAATGATCGGTTAAAAAGGCCAGGCCCAATGACCCCTGCACGTCAAATTCGTCTTGTTTGTTAACCACATAACATAACATTTCCACTACAAGACAGCCTCTGTATCATTAAAAAATAAATTTTATTTAATAAAAAAAAATATATCTCTTAATGGTTCTAAAATTCTCTAAATTATTTTGTATCATAGGTCTCTCTTAACCATTCAGCGCCCTAATTTCATTATAAATAATTATCAAACAATTATATTTCATTTTACACTATATCATGAGAACCTCTTAATCATTCTGACCACTTAATCATTATGTACCACTTAATCATTATGTACCAAATTATTTATAACTTATAATTAGGATAATTATCGAGTTCGATAATTATTGTAATTATATTTATTTTGTTAGAGATAATTATCCTAATTATATTTTAGATTTTTTATATTTTAAAATAAGATGTTTATCCTCTATTTGATTATATTTATCCGCAATTAGTTATACGAA